TGCAGTTGCGCTGCTATAGCGCGTTAGCATCACTTCTGTAGTGCGTTGCAAATGCGACTAACGCGCGTTAGTAGCGATGCTGTCGCCGTGGGCGAGGGCCCTAAGCGTTCCTGCACACGGTGCCGTCACCGCGCCGACGCCGCGCAACTACACTGTAGATACGTGTCGCGCGAAGCCCGCCACCGCGCCGCCGCCTCCGCGTGCGTTCCCTACGTTACACGGCCGGTAATGGAATGAATCAATCAAACAGAGGGAGGGAAAGCGAGCGGAGGCGGCGTGGCGACGGCGCGGTGACGGCATCGTGTGCAGGAACGCTAATTCGCCGAAACCGTTTCCAGGAGTGCCTATACAGGTACAGCTGCTTCGACGACAAGAAGTTCGAGCAGTTTCTCTCGCGCGTGTGGTGCCTGCTGCGGCGCTACGCGGCGTGGGTGGGCGCGGGCGGCGAGGCGCAGCTGACGCAGATGGCGCTGCCGGTGCCGGTGCTGGAGTGCCTGCACCGCTGCTTCGGCGTCACGTTCGAGTGCTTCGCGAGTCCGCTCGACTGTTACTTCAGGCAGTACTGCTCTGCGTTCGCCGATACCGACTCGTATTTTGGGTCGCGCGGGTAAGTTCTCTTGTTATCTTATCGTTTTTGTTCTTATTTTGTTTTTGTTGTGTGATGATGCCGTTGTGATTTTCATAATTATAATAAACTAGCGACCCGCCCCGGCTTTGCACGGGTGCTAAGTATACATACATACATTATAAACCTTCCTCTCTATAAAAAAAAAACCGCATTTAAATCCGTCGCGTATTTTTAAAGATCTAAGCATACATAGGTACAGACAGCGGAAAGTGACTTTGTTTTATACTAAGTATGTAGCGATTAACATTGGACATTTTATAGAATACTATTAAGTCCCAAACTAAAGCTTATCTACTTTACTAGACTACAGATGTTTTGAATACATAAAAACATCCAGACGAATACAAACAGAAATGTTTGTATTGTGCGGGCATTGAACCCGCGACCTCTGGCATAGCACCACTACCCCAAACGGTCGCGTCGTCTAAATGTTATTTCTTGCTATCCAATATGAATGTATTATATATGGCAAGCTTGGACGAATAGTGGTTTATTCATCCAAGATTGCAAGATTATACAATGAGGTTTGTTTTTGTTCTAGCCCCTTTTTGGAGCTACGCCCGGTATCGGGATCGATGGTGGCGCACCCGCCATACTGCGAGGAGTTGTTAGAGGCGGCATTGCGCCACATGGAGCGCTTGCTGCAAGACTCCGCCGAACCCCTCAGCTTCGTGGTAGTCCTGCCTGAATGGCCGGACAGACAAACCCATGCGCTGTACAAGCTGCAAGCCAGTCACTTTAAAAGAAAACAGGTTTGTTGTTTTTGTTTATACAACGTGAATTCGTTTACGATGTAACTAGAGGTCGTTAATGATAAAGTTATTTTAAATTTTATTATTGTTACATTCAGGTGGTGATCCCAGCTTTTGAACATGAATATCGTCATGGCTTCCAACACGTACTACCCAAGTAAGTTTATGTTTTTATTACCTGCAATCTACCTTTTTAAATTTTGATATTTTAGTCAAGTCTACAGAAAATCGGTCGCGGCGTTCAAGTCATGCACCGTATACATACAATGGATTATTTTTGTAAAGTAGATTCTTCTTTGTCCTAGCCCTTTATGAAATAATGGGAAAATTGTGGTCGGCTCTCCTTGTTCTGAGAAGCCAACAGAGTCGGTGCTGGGTTATCGAAACATTTGTCCGGACACGCTCCAAGTCCCTGGCCACCGTGGACCACCAGGTGGCGTCCTCCACTTTTCTTATTTGGTAGTGCTGAGGCCTGTTTTACGACATGCTCTTGGTCTTCATAGTCTCGGGTGGGTGTAAAGCAGATCGATGCCTGAATTAAAAAGCGGTTCGGCGCCGGGACAAATACACCACAAAATTTTTATCACCGAAAAAAAAAAATTCTGGGTAATATGTTATTGATACTGATCCTATTTATGCAAAAAAAAAAGTTATATAAAGTTACTCAAAATTTCCTCCCAAAATTGGTAATTTAAGGACACACGCGTCGCTACCAATATTTACGTAAGATAATGTAATACTTATTAGAACTCAACATGGTCTAAGTTAGCTACGTATGTAATAATAACACTGGAAGCGTGGTCGAGGCGTGAGCGAGACAGACAGATCGAGGCAATATGCGAGCGCGTACGACTACTCTAGCGAGCAGCGGAGTGACCCAGCTGTGACGCGTAAAATACGGACTAAAGAAAATTTAATAAAAAAAATTAACTTTATGAAAAACATTTCTTTTTTTATTGCTTTAAATTTTTCACACGTTTCTACATAACCTGTTAAAATTTTTTCGGTGATAAAAATGTAGTGGTGTATAAAAACACGAAATTTCCGTCGCAGAAACGAGGTGTACTTCCGATGGGGCGGCGGCACCGTGGTGGTGTGGCTGCAGAACGCGGCGGGCTTCGCGCGCTGGGGGCCCACGGAGGAGCGCGTGGAGGCGCTGCTGGACGCCTGGCGCCCGCGCGCCAAGGGCCGCTCGCCCGAGCCCGCGCCCGCGCCCGCGCCCGACGCGCCCGCGCCGCCGCCGCAGCCGCCGCACCCGCCCGACAAGCGCTGAGCCGCGCGCGCACGCCGGGGGCGCGAGGGGTGCTGCTCGCTCGCCCGATCGACTGAACGATTCGGCGACCTGCTCGACTAAATGGCAATGCCAGATTTTGTATGGAAAGTGGCGTCCAAACCAAACTTACTATGGCATGTATACCTCTAAACTCAGTCTGAACTGAGTTACGAGCGTTAGAAGTTTGATGATTTTCATACTAGATTTGCTTTTTGTGCGCAAGTTTTGTAAGAAATTGCAACAAAATATTGCGCTATTTTTTATTGCGCTGATTCTGCTCCATGCTGATGTCTGGAGCCTTTAATGGATGGTGTTGTTTGTTTACACATACAATGTCACTATTTTGTTGCAATTTCTTACAAAACTTTGCGCGCAAAAAGCAAATCTAGTATGAAAATCATCAAACTTCTAACGCTCGTAACTCAGTTCAGACTGAGTTTAGAGGTATACATGCCATAGTAAGTTTGGTTTGTTACACTATTTTGTAATAAAAAAACAAAGTTTGGTCGATGGCCGCGCGAAAAAAAAAAGACGCCAATTTCCGGCATTGTCTTTTTTGGTGTTCAGACGCGTTCAACTACTCAATTATTCGACTGATGCGGTCGAGGCTTCGGCGCCGAGTGCGTTACCCTGCTCCGCATGATGTTCACCCCCGTTCTGCATAATCCGGGTATCTCAGAAAACGTTTCTTGACATGTCCAGACGGCACGTCGTGCTGAATACCTACTCATCTTGTTGTAAAAGGGGCTCTTTGCAACAAAAATATGTAGTCCGATGTGCCGTCGACTGTACCCCGTTCCACACGCTGAGCGGGCCTGACCCGCCAGTCGATATCGTATTTATAGAAACTTCTTGACGTGTACATAAACCCTGTATCTGAACCGGCCGTTTCTTGTCTGCTTGAGCAAACGCTGCGATAACACTTCCGATGCCGACAGTCGTCGTATAGATATTCGGTCAAACGGTCCGAATAGATATATTCTTTTGATCTTGTCAATTCAAACCAATTTCTGTTTCATCTGTTTCTAAATTTCATTATATTTTTCCTCGGTACGCGGGTAATACGCCTGTAACGCGACAAAATGACGCCATTAGATGTAGTAATTCAACCACTTTCTTCGTGTAAACGCAAAATTGCTCCATGCTCAACTACATATTATATTCATTTATCAGTATCTTCTTTCCCTATTTCTTTTCATTCTTTCTAATTTGAAAATTATCACTGAAAAAAAGTAAGTCAGTACAATGACGCAGCTGCAACGTCATAGTCTCGCCGTCATAGACTGCGCATGCCCCGTAACAACACCGTTTATTGAAACTTATTCTTTTTTGAAATGTGGAACCTTTCTGCATTTAACCGGGTTTGAGCCGGTACTCATTTCCCCTAATTAAAAATAAATGCATGGAATTAGATCCAGTGTTTGGCAAGCTAGACGTTTCTTACTTGTGTAACCGAGTATTAATAAATAATCGTAAAAGTAAATACAATGTCAAAGAGTTTTTCTTATAATAATAAAGGGTAATGTGGCCCAGATTTAGGACTTTGCGGACGCACGTGAAGCACAGTGCTGCGCTATTTTTGTCTACGGTTTCTTTGTAGTAGTCAAAATATACGGCGAATTTTCTTATTCTTTCTTCGATTGACTTATTTTGACTCTAAATCCTGGTTAATTTAAAAAAAACCGCACGCAATAGTACGCATCACTGTACTCGGCGCGGGCGCGATAAATTCGCTAACTATTCGTAGCCTCCAATCTTGCGCACCCGCGATGTAAATATTTTTAGGGATGATGATTTTTACTATATTAATCTTATTTTTAATGACTTTTTTTAAGTCTCTTTTCTGTTGTATAGATCGATAAAGATTTATTATGTTTTTATTGTTCATTATATTTTCTGAAAAAAAAAATTGCTCTTTTCTTTCCTCTAATTAGAAAATAAAGTTGATGGGCGTTTCCTATAAGAACGTTCGATGCTATATTTTTTGCCATTTATCACTCTTCGAATTGCCGATGCCGGAACGACAATACATTGTTCATTTATAATGTAGACAAGACGAAGATGATGCTAGTAGACCGGGCCGAAGAAATTGGAACCAACACTCAATATGAATATTATTATAGGGCTTATTGACAATCCCCGTCAACGGGGATAAGTGAACTTTTTTGTTTGTTCATTAATCCCCGTTAACGCCAATTGGAGCTTAGCTTAGCAGTATATCCTTTGTCCGAGTAGTGCAGTGTCGAAATAAAGTCATGTCGATATTCAGTAGTGTCGAAGTAACGTTTGTCGGAGTTTATTTAGGTAGCCGCTTTTAGAATAAAGAGAGAAATGAATACACATTCACTAAGTAGACAATATTTTATTTTACATTTAGCATATTCTATTTTAGTGCTGATGGTGATAGAAACATTTCATATTGGGTGTCCATATATCAGGCAAATATTTGTTTGTCAGTGAAGCAGTGGAATAAAATTTGCAAATGTTTACGTATTGGGTTGTTCTAGCAAGCTATACAAGCCGTCAAGAGTACCTACGGAACATAGAACCCAAACTAACAACCTGAAGAGGCGGGAAATCTTTTTGACTAAGTTTTGACTGTTAGCATGACAAAGAGAAAATGAGATTTCGAGTTGCGCCCACTGCGGGTATTAGGCGGTTAGTTTTACAGTCGTGACATACATTTATGAAATATTTTAACCAGTACATAAAACTAAGTGATCACATAAATCATGTCGCTTAGTGCTAGGTCAAGAGTCAAGACCCAAGGGAGCTCACAGACGAGTGACAGTATATCGGTGATTATCGTCGACGGCAGATATTCAAATTGGACGATGGTCCCCGATGCATCGCGACTCCCGAAGACTGGGTAGTCGCTAAAACGAGGTTTAGACTAGCATTAAAACTTGCAGAAGTTGACTTCCTGCTGTTGCAAACTGTTTGTTTACCATTGCGTAAATAGCTGTGATTTACAGTGCTGACAGCTTGCGGAAGTCAACTTCTGCTTTTATTGCTAACCTAAGCCTCGCATATTCCGAGATTTAAAATCCGCGTAGTATAATTGCCTCGCGAAACTTCACCTCAAAGATAACATCGCCATTAATATTAATTTATTACCCTCATACATGCCTCGATATATGAAATTGACACGTATAGTGAGTATCGACATGCCATGAGAGCGAAAGGCGCGAGTCAGAGACTGTCGCCGACAGTCGCCTACGACTATCACAAGCAGTCGCCGATATAATGTCGCACGTCTGTAAGCTCTTGCGAGTACAAATAGCATCACTGGACGAACACTTAACTAATCTAATGCAAGTTCAATAAAATAATAAAGTTAGTACCAAGTTTCTACTGTTGTGATCAAGCAATGAAACATGTTACAGTCAGTGGTAAGAAATGCGGCCTAACTTATCCTTCAATAATAAAAGTACTTATTATGTACCTGTGTTTATTTTATTTATGCATTATCATTTGAAGAATTTGTAAATTAATTTTGGCTATGACAAAAAAATATGTTACAAGCAATAGTAATTTAATTACATTAATTCAAAATTCTTTGCTTTTTTTTCTATTATGTTGTAAGTATATTTTTGGTTTCTATACAAAAACATAGCTTCTTTACAATGTGCGTGTGCCACAATAGCTATAACATCGACGATAAAGGCTGAGACATATTTTTTGCTGCTGACTGTATTTCTTATAATATAGCAAAATAAAATAATAAGAAGCTTAAAGATAACAGTGAATCAAGATATCATTAATAATGGCTGTTAGTTTATACATACATTTATTCGAAATTATGTAATAGTATAGCTTTTTACATAAAGTTAAAAAATCACTGACATTTAAAGTAACTGTAGAGTGCTAAAACTAACTTAGCCCCATTTCTACCAAAGCAGAGTGGAGCAGAGAAGTGTGTTGAATAATCAATCAGATTTCATTATTTCCACTTCTTTCGTCCCCGCGCCGCGCCGCCGCATAGAAAGATTTGACGGCCTGACACTTCTCTATTCCGCTTTGGTGGAAACCGGGCCTTATTACATAACAAACAGCTATCTGTTCTACTAGTGACCTACTAAAATCTTTTTGAAACTTATCTAGTTATTATACTTTTTCTTAAATGTAACTATATTGACATGTTATTAATAATATAGTACATTATTTAAACATAAAAGTTACCCACTAGTAGATTGGATTAAATTATAGTGCTTTAACAGAATCCTCCTTAATGATGAAATAATTTCAAGATAAGACTTTCAAACAAGAAGCCTTATAGTATGGGTTTTGTCAAACTCAGTTATATTCTTCATCTTCATCCATAGCGAAGTCTACCCCAGAATCAACAGCACAAACAGGGCTAGAAATTAAAAAAATTTTTCATTTTCCTTTCTTTAAAATTAATTTATGAAAAGTGTTTACTGTATACATACCTCATAGCTCTGCATGTCAGGAAAACAATCCTTTTTAACTTTCGATTGTAAAAGAAATAGTTGAACCCCCATAGGCAGCCAGGTTCTCCAAAAGGATCACTAGCTAAGTCAGGGTTATAGCTATAAATGCGACACTCTGAAAGGAGGACTTCTTCTTCCACTGCAGCCCATAGAGCAGGTCGCAGTTGCCTCCACCGCAGCCCGCCCACTGCTGACAGGGCAGCATCAACTGCACCTTGAACCCAGCTGAGGGAAGGCTCAGCACTAAACTCACTGCTCTGGAAAAAAAAAGAACTTCTTAATGCAATCCTTATCAACATCAGAAAAACAAAGTATAATGGAACAAACTTTTCTAAATGGCATAAAAAATAAATACCTTTGCCATAGAAAAATCATAGTCTGGAAAAGCAGCATTAAGAGTTGCAATCAAGTAAAATAATGTTTTCCTGGAAATAGTATCACACAGTACTCCATCTTCATCTCCTGATAGACTGTGGCTGCAATAGACCATGAATAAAATTAGTATAAAGTAGGTTTTGTGTTCTTTACCAAATTCATCTATGGCATCATAAAAGTACATGCTATGAGACAACTAGAATTCGAATGTTGGTACTGTTTCATGCAAGCCTACCCTCTGACTCAAGATTGGGTGTAAGACTTACTATACCTGTATGTGACACCTTCTGGTGGTGACAATGCTTGAAGGTCGTGAGTGGTTTCTCCAGCAGCAGTAAACCGCTTGTAAAAAGCTTTTTCAGTACCAGCCATCTTGCAGCTGTAACTTTCCACTCGTCCCTGCACAACACTGTCACCGTTCAATATTGATAGAGCTCTGCTTAGAGCTTCCAAACGGCCACTCTCAAGAAGTTTCATCTTCCTAGTTATAGCTTTTAAAAATTTACCCGCTCAAATTTGTTGCTGTCAAAAGTAATATTGAATTTGTGCAGCAAAGGGCACTACTTCTGTACATGGGTATAAATATTCCTTTTCTTTTCGAGTGAAGAAGTTTCGGTATCAGATTCGTCTTCTGTTCTTCGTTCACGCTGATGGAATGCGGGAACATCACAAATAAGAGAAAAAGTTTTATTTTACAAATTGTTATGGACGACAGCAAAATTTATTTTTAGCTTGTATAAGTGGCTTCTACACAAGGAGCGCTTCACTTCACTTGTTGTCCTACAAAAGTACAATCACTTCGAATTCAGGGTTAAAGATCAAAATCCATGGAAGACATCGTCACAAAATGTATTAACACGGTTGAACCACAGTTAGTTACACTAATTGAACCAAATAAGAGCGATTTCTTATCAGAATTTTTAGAAGTACACAAAGAAACACTAACATTCGTTTTGATCGACCATATCTAACCATAGACAAAAAAGAGGCACTGTGGGGTGGGCACTGCTTTTTTGTACTTTCTGACAGTTACACAGTTACCAACTATTTCCAGACACCCTAGTTAGAGTTACGTAATAGGGGTTAACCATAGACAATAGAGTAAAAAAATCCGGTAAGCAGCTGTCATCTGTCAGCAAATTGTCAATGTCAAAACAATCTGCTTCTGGCCTCTGTGGAATTTGTAATTTTGTAAAAGTTAATAATTTTTATGTTTTGTAAGCCTTATTAAATGATAGTTCCCCAGATTCAAATTGTTTAAGCAAAATATAGCAATAAGCAGTATATTCCTGACTTCATAAAATAACAGTTCGTAAGAATGAGTATTTTGAAAATGTTTCCTACAAATACGATTATTTCAACATTTCTTCGGTCTCGTTGTCCTAGCTGTTTCAGATATCAAAACTATGGTATGTAGAAGCGATTATCTTTGTTTTTTCACGACTGTATTACATATTTTTTATCAATATTTCGATCAACATTTTGTATGAAACCGTTAACGATGTTGGTGCCTTTAAAATTATTTATTTTTAGCTATTTAGCTATCAAGTCCTAATAGGTTTAGGTTTAAATAACTTTATTCTCATAAGAAATTTACATTTCACTTATAATGAGATACTAAAATATTTAATAAATAAGTTAAAAATTAGGCACTGGTACTAGTAGCTGCTAGCCTGCTATGTCTATCTTAAGTTTCTTTTTAAAAATATTAATCTAATCTAATTGTATTGTAATCTAACTTATGAACAAGGTTCTTTTAACCCTAAAAGATTGACCGTCAGAGTTTGGTTTATAATGGTATGCTTTCATTCCAAAGCATACCCTAATGGTTTACATCAAAATAATTTAATAATAGAATACATTTTGTGTAATGTTAATATATGTGCTTTTTCTTTTTAGCAACACGTAAAAGATTTTACCGCAGTACAAGCATTGTGCAAAATGAAAATAAATGGGAAGTTACATTAGACCACCGACGTTTGAAAACACCCAATGGGCGTGTATTTGTCGTCCAAAGTGAGCCTTTGGCACGGGCTATAGCAGCTGAATGGGACTCACAAACAGAAGTTATTGCTCAGCCAACTATGCATTTGGTAATAATAATAAAATAAATTATGATTTCTATAGTATGTATACTGCTGATGCTCTCTCTAGACATTTTTGTGACATACTTTTTCTTTTACTTTACTCTTAAGAGGCATAGCTTTAATCTGAAAGGCTGTTTTATTTAATAACATGACAAATTATAATTTAAAAAAAAAACATATGGGTCGAATTGAGAACCTCCTCCTTTTTTTGAAGTCGGTTGAAAAGACATCATTACAAAAATATGTTGCTTAGATCTAGGTTGTAATTCAGAAATATGTGTTATTAGAAAAGCAAGGCGGTACTAGATTATACTTGCTTACTTACTACTACTACACATACTTGCTTACTGAATAAAAATCTAATCTTGAGAATGTATTTTTGCTTTTGTTCATTATAAAAGTCATGTCATCACAGACAGGTATACATTACAAGGGACATGAATCTTACAAATGTTGCAACCTTAATGTCATAATATGATCTCGCCTGCTATGGCAAAATAGAAAGTGAAATAAATATTTTTTTTAATATTGATTTTATTTTTCAGACTGCTTTATGCAATACAGCATTGGACAATCCAGGAAAGATTACTTCTCACGACATAGCCAGTTATTTGCTAGATTGTTATCCCACGGACACTCTTCTTTTTCATTCTGATGTAAGTTGATTAAAAGTAAAAAACAAACCTATTTTTTTAACAAATTTCACCTTGCTCTGTGAAGAGAACGCGAAATAGAATCCTATGTCCATTTGTCTTGTGTTCCTATGGAAATAAAACATGGAATGTTACTTTTTTCAACCAAACCATTGAAAATACTATAAAAACATCAAAAGGCAAAGGACTGTGTTAATTATGTAATGTTATTTCAAGGAAGAAGAAGAATTGAAAAATCTACAACTTAAAAAGTGGGTTCCAGTATTGGAGTGGTTCCAAGAAAGATATAATATCAAGCAAGAATTATCACATGGCCTGGAGCCACCTCCAGTTACAACTGAAACTAGAGCTGTTTTAGCAAGACATTTTCTATCTTATGACTTCCCAGCACTTACTGGTATGTATACCTGTTTGTATATTTTATATCCAATTGGGATGCAATTTTACAACAAAAAATTACTTGGATAGGCATATTATGCATTAGCCATTTAAGCTGAGTTGAGTCAGTAGAAATTAATTTTAATGTGCCTTTCTTCACATTTTTTTAAAATGAAATAGGTATGTAATATTGTGAATGATTATAAAAATGTGCATATTTTTTGCAGCTTTTAGTTTTGGAGTTGATGCTCTGAAGTCGCCTATTTTGATGCTAGCATGTGTTGATAATTATTTGGAACCGACAGAAGCTGTCCTACTTGCACGTCTTGAAGAAGAATATCAGGTCAGTGAGTAATACAACATGTTAACATACATATTCGCACAAATGGTATTTAAATTTGAACTTCCTTAAATGCTTTGAAAATACGTGTCTTGTTTCGGAGTTTCATAAACCATACGTAGAAAAGATTAAAGGGGTTTTAGTAACTTTTACGAGATTTGAACTCTAGGTATTTCTGATTGCTTCAGTTGGCGCGATGGGGTCGAGTTCCGTGGGCGCATGAATTAAACCAAGCAGAGCTAACGGCGCGAGTGGCTGCGTCCCTGCTCATTATTCAATGCTCCACTGAGTCGCATTCGGCACGAGCTAAGACGCCACAGAGCGAACAAACCACTCAATAAACTACAATTATTCTGGTCATCTTCTTTTTATTTATTGACCTGTTCTAGTTCACTGTGCTACTTTCTGTGTGTTACTAATCAACTCATTGTCTTGAGTTGCGCCCAAGTGCTGTCCATTAAACGGTGAATTGGTACAGTCGGGTGACTCACGTGGATGATCTTGTTGCGTTTATATTATTAGGTTCTTTGTTTATCGGCTACTTTTGTCGTAAATGCAGTGGGGAGATTTTTGTCGCTAATAGGCTTCACCTATTCAAAATCAAATGATATCATTTATTATATTATGCATTGTTATGTTCAAGCAAGCTGTTAATAGCTTGAAAAGTTAATCTACCTACTGTTTTTGTAATCTTACATTGATATTTACCTAATTTATAACATGCATATTGCATACTGATACATACTTATAACTTTTAAGTTAACAGTATCTAACTCTGCGAAGTAGGAAGTATTCTAAAATCAGGGAGAAAGCAAACTGGCAGCCAAATTTAAGCGGGGTCAACTCTGCAACGCATCGCGGCGAACAAGAATGAAATTAAAATAGCAAAAACAGTCGCGAAGTTACGCTAAATATAGCTGGGCGGGCGGAGCGCGCGCGCCGCAGTGCCGCTCGACCTCGCTTTGTTACAAGCGGGACGTGTTAGTATTTATTTGATACTATCGCTTTCATTCAAGTACAATTTATTTCCTTTATTATTATGTAAACAAAAGATTTTTAAAAATTAATACACCTATGAGCGTTCATGTGTGTACCTCTTTGCAAAGGTAATTGCAAACGTGCCGACACGAAATCAAATGAAGTTTAAATTGATCAAAATTTTCTATAAGTGTAGAAGTGGGAGTGCAAATCGAGGCTAATATGTGTTAGTTTCGCGATTCTGATTCAGCTACGCCCTAAAATATTTAGAGCGGAAGTAAGTAACTATTGATATAAGTATTTTAATAGACTTTGTTCTCCTTAGACCTTATAGGTAATTCTTATTTTTGTCGTGTAAAAGTTCTACAACATTTTAAGACAAAAGTGACTTGTGTCGCTCGAACGCATCACTAAGATTTTGTCTACTCGTATTAAATTAATGGAATAAAAATCTCATGACCGATCATGATAAAACTGGTCGATCAAACAGTCATGATCCTGGTGTCAGAACCATTCATAGCACATGTGCCTCAATCAGACCGTTTTGTTGTTTTAACATGCCCTACGAAACGCGGAATCATAATATTTACTGAACTTAATAATGAGATATTATTTCATTGATTTTCAGGGGTGATGAGCGGCGACGCGGAAATTGGGTTACCTCGCCCTCGTCCCCTGTCTGGTGGATTCTGGACTCTGTTGTCGTGGCTGCGCCGCGAGGACCACCTCTCCTCCAGCGACAGCTTGTCCAGCGCTGGCTCCGACCGCACCGCAGTCAGCTTCGCCTTCCTGACTCCGGCGCACTACCACGCCAGCGCGCCCCCTGTCGTCGTCGCGCCACCCGGCCCGCCCACCGACACTTACAAGCAAAGATTGCGCGAACGCAACATAAGGAGGCAGTACGACCGAGATATAACTCTTCATAGAAAATACGGCCTTTTCAGAGGGGAAGGCGTTAACGGGTACGACGCCTCAACTTTGCCCACAGCGAGACTTGCCCAAGGAAAGACTGGCAACAGGCAAGAACGGGAACGGAGAGCCACCAGCGAGTGCTACCAGCGACGCGCCGCGCACGTGCCCGGCAAGCGCCGCGCGCCGCAGCCTCCAGGCCGAGTGCTTGAGCCGACGGCTTCTATTAAACGAACCAGAAAGCGACCAGCGCCCCAGCCACCGATTAAACTCACAGAGAAATCTAAGGAAAACGTTATTCAATCGGCCGACAAAACGATCCACATGAATGCTCAGGCGGCACATAAAGATAAAGAATCGACGTGTCATGATGTTTCAACTGATTGTAAGCCAGAAAAATACACAAAAAAGGATAACAGAGATGCTAAAATAAAGCCTGAAAAGAATTTTTTGAAACAAATATTTGAAAATAAAAAGAAAAATACGACTGTAGATATAACTTCAATTAAAGTCCTCCCTAGCATTAGTGAATTGGACGCACAGGCAGCTGAAATTATAGAGAATAAAAAAATAAGAAACAACGAAAACATAAATCATCAAACAAATATTGCGTCTTTTAAAATGTATGTAAATTGCACCAAGTGTACTAAGAAGCCTTGTATTTGTGCAACAGATGCGATGTCGTCTATATTAGAAGAGAGTCGCAATAAAAATGCATCCACACATACCCAAACGGAAAACAATGCTCGAAAATCCACAAGCAATAGTAGAATAGACGAAAAGCAGAAGTTGAAAGATATGTTAAAGGAAATGAAAGATTCCCTTCCGAAAAAAACAAATCATGATACCAAAGTTTCTAATACTCATTTAAAATCTGGTGCTTTTTCAACCAACTCAAATAAAGATACGTTGGTAATTGAGGCTCCAACTTTACGGATAGGATCTGTAAGTGTAGACGAGACTAATAATAAATCTAAGCGAGCCTCTTTTCCAACTGCGCAAGTTGCTGAGAAAACAGGTGGTTCATGCAATGTAACCATTATGCAAACTAAAATGAATTCCATTGCTCAAACTCCGCAATCTTCTTCAAATAATGGACTATTCAAAGTAAATAATAGACAAGAACTTCATATAACTGAAAACAAATCTAATCTTACTTCGAAAGAAACCACGAAAGATGCAGCGGGACCAAATCCCAAAACGTGTATGAGCAATAATCGGATAGATATTGGTTCTTCTGAAAATAGAAAATTGAATACGCCTTTAAAAATATCTTCATTATTGAATCCTATTTATATCCCAAAAGATACAACGTCTACACAGGATGTATCAAAAAATGTGAGCAAAGAAGAATACCCAAAATTGGTAAAGTCCGAAACTTCTAGTCAGACAAATTTTGCAACAGCTAAAGCTGTAAGAGACATAGTTTTAAATTCTGATCTTAAGAGGAATCAAGCATCTGCTCCTTCACCACCATTGATCTCTAGTAATGAGCAATTAAAGAAAACATGTGTTAGTGATGGTACTAGAAAATTAAGTTGTGTGAAGCCTCTAGACCAAAACGGTGTAACTACTCCAACACATTATGAGAAACAAAAGGAAAATACTAATGTTGAAAGGTTAAGTCAACACTTACGACGGCGAGAATTGGTGAACCAATTGGAACAGTCTATAGCAAAAGGAGATGAACGCGCCGCTGCTGAAGCTGCATCTAAACTAGCTCAACTGAGACTTTCATGTTCTGTTTTATCTTTTACTTCGCAAATTTTATCGGAACCTTCTACCTCAAAAATACAGACGGAAAAAAATATTCAAGACCAAACCAAAAATGACAAATCAAAAATCAATGAACCACTTCCTTCTAAAAAATCATTGGCTGCGACATCATCTTTAACAGAAGCTAAAGATTCGCCAAAAGTAGTGAATGTGCCGACTACATCTGCTATCAAAGTCCAAGAAGAAAGAGTACAAAAAACTGGCGCAGACGTCATTAAAAGTAGTATAACTGAATCAAATGCTTCTCCTCTACGGCCCACAACGTCAAAAGGTCTGCCATCAAAAAATGACGCTGATAACATAGCGTAAGTATCAAAATTGCCACATTTTTATTTAAATCCCATATCATGACATCAGTAGTTATCTACTTACTTATTTCAGTATCAACGTATGGGTTGAAGATAAAGAGAAAACCCGAGGACCAATTAAATTAGTCATTCGACGAGCGGCTGTGGTTGGCGAGCTGCGGCGGCGGGCCGAGCAGTCGTTCGGCCTGCCCTCGCGCCTGCAGCGGTGGATCGTCGGCCGGACGCTGTGCACCAACGACAACACATCACTCGCTTCCCTGGCTGGGCCATCTCTTAGTGCGCCTTTTTATCTATGTTTGGTGGAAGCTGGTAAGTTAATTACTATACATGGTATTTTTTTGTTAATTTATCTAGGGGNTGTTTTTGGTGGGATCTATTTGTCCTTGAGAATATGGTACAAAAGATCATATTATTATTGTAATTAATTATTAAATACGATTTTAATTATTTTCTCAATTCAACTATTACAGATGAAAATGCGGAGCAAGTTAATCTTGAACAAAATGACAACGCTATCAACACAAAAGAGGGTGAAAATAACGCAATCGAGAAAAAGTCGAGTGACGTGTATAACGAATTAGTTCAATTAGAACAACAAGCACTAGTTCCTAATGCTGAAGAGTTCGAATGTGAAATATGCATGGAACAATGTCAACCTGGAGACGGGGTGGTCCTGCGGGAATGCGTACATTCATTTTGTAAAGGTTGTCTCTCAGATGTTATACGTCATTGTGAAGAACCGGCAGTTTTATGTCCAGCTACGGCTTGTCCCGGCGAATTACATGAACGCGAAATTCGTGCGCTCGTCAGCCCCGAAGAATACGAACGATGGCTCGCGCGGGGCCTCGCCGCTGCCGAGAGCGGCTCCAGGAACGCGTTCCACTGCCGCACCCGCGACTGCGCGGGCTGGGCTATGTGTGAAGTAGGCGTCAGAAGATTCCCATGCCCGGTTTGCAAACACACCAACTGTGTGCCCTGCCAAGTAAGTTGCTAATACATACCTATGTACTAAGTAGTGACTTAAGGGGCGTCCAGAAAAACCTCACTCAATCTCACGTGGGGGAGAGGGGGGGTGTCGAGAAATTAAAAAATAGCCAATATTGTCTCACGTAATTAATGGACGCCCCCTTATAAATTACATATCAACATAATAACTTGTCTATAATGCACTTGCACACCATATTAAATATAAGAAGAAGAACATAAATAAAAGAAACCTTATTTACCTAAAAAGCTACACTTAGCTATGAGTTGTGGTCTTTACGTTTGATTTACCTAGTTATATGCTATCTGTGCTAAGCCTGTGATTACGTAATTAAAACGTATAAATATTAATCATATTTCAGGCTATTCATGAAAATGAAACTTGTGAACAACACCGCGCCAAACTGTTAGCAGCTGCAGCCACTAACGCTGTTAGTGAAACCGATGAGGGGACTCGTGCACTGATCGACTCTTTAATAGCTCGAGGTGAAGCACTACAATGCCCCGAGTGCAGTGCCATTATTACTAAGAAGTGGGGCTGTGACTGGGTGAAATGCTCCGCATGCAAAACGGAGATATGCTGGGTCACGCGCGGCCGCCGGTGGGGGCCGGCGGGCCGCGGGGACACCAGCGGCGGCTGCCGGTGTGGCGTGGATGGTAAAAGGTGTCACCCTTCGTGCGGATACTGCCACTAACATTTTTATAGTCTATTATCTATTGTGACAGACTAGCATTTTTGGTCTCTGTTATAACAAAAATTTAATATTCGTTTAGCAAAGTTCGTCGCGCAGCGAGAGTTGAGGCGATCAACAAAAGCAAAGATGATCGTCGTACCTACTGAAGTACGTAGTGTGACTGATAAGGATAACTTCCTACATAATATTCCGTATTCAGTTATCGTCATCATCAAGTATTCATCAACTTTCGCTGCACGACCTTTATCTACAAATTGACAGATACTACCAGCATTATTATTTATGTAACTGGAAATTCTTTCTTAGGAGAATTAGGTAATTCTATTTATTTTAGGTTATTGTGGCCCGGTTTCTGAATTTACATTTCCGGCTTATGTCACAGAATAATAATAAGTACTATAGATGACCCACGCTGAACTGTCCCACCAAACTCAATGACAGGGGGGCGCTACCATCGTTCAACTGTATGGTTTCCAACATGGCAAAAATCGGAACCAGCAATCCGGTATAGACGGTGGCGCCCCGCTGTCAATGTCATGCACAGCACAGTTCAGTATTTTGGAACTATACGTATAGATGACCCACGCTGAACTGTCCCACCAAACTCAATGACAGGGGGGCGCTACCATCGTGCAACTATATGGTTTCCAACATGGCAAAAAATCAGAACCAGCGATCCGGTATTGACGGTGGCGCCCCACTGTCAATGTCATCGATAGGACAGTTCAGTATTTTGGAACTATACAGAAGTTTTACTTCGCGAAGGTATTTAAAAAAATGTATGCTCAATGTCATTAACAATATGGTGTTTAATTTAGCCTGTCTCAAGTGTCAAGCACCATTTTGTTGACAAACGTCAGTGATCGGCACTGCGCCGAAGCTATAGGGCTGACTTCGGTAAAATGAAGTGACGTGAGGTGCCAAACTGCGGAAAATGGCGGAGGAAATACTCATGATTTAAAATGAATTATCATGAATAATATTAACTACTTATTTACCTCTCAGTGTCTTAAGGCAAGTTAAAATGTACATTCTGTGTTTTTATTATTATTTAGGCAGTTAAATACTGCACAGTATTTAGTTCACCATTTTGTTTATTTTGTTCCATCATACACAAGAATACGCGTGAGTGAGTCAATGTTCGCTCGTATGTGAGGCCTTGTCGAATAGTATCCTGTAGGTGGGCCATCGTGCGTGTTTTGTTTTCGATGTAAACTCGCGGAGATGAACAGGCCTGGTTCTACTTTAAAACCTAGGTAGTAGATACTCACTAGACCTGCTGTACACTTTGACGCCTAGGGATTCGATCACCTTGGTGATCGAAGTGGGTTCCAGGCGGCCCTTTGGTGTCCTTTGATCACCCATGGATAAGAAGTCCACGATCAAAGTGGAATAGATCGAAACCATTAAAAGGAATGGGACCACTTCAATGGGAAGTAATTGAGGGTTTACGCTCAATTAATTCCCATTGAAGTATTTCTCTAGTTTGTTACTCAATTATAGGCCAGTAGAATTAAACACAAAAATTGATTAAATCGGAAATAATTCAAACAAAAGATTTACTTGCTTTAACGGCTTTATTGGTTGCCCATTAAGACTCTCCTAGGTTTTCGACTTCGACGGAGTTGTGCTTAAGTGGTGGGGGGCCCGCAAAGGGGCGCTTTTTCGGTTTTCCGGTTATACCGCGTAAAGGACTTACCCTATCGAAAAGTGGTCTTCCTGACGGTTGAAGGGCATTTAATCCTGCATTAAATAAGACCAAATTCATATGTTTTGAACAAACCATTCTCGTGCAAATGTTCGGCAAAGTAGAAAATGTGTGTATAATTAATTACCCTCTCCACGTCCAATGGCTCGTTACACACAGGCTTCCAAGTCTTGAAAAGGAGCGCCTCAACCAGTGTAACCCTATCAAGGCTTACGAGCTGGATGCGCCTATCCTTGTTCGTCCCAGCCGTTCCTTAACTGCGGTTGCTGCACCTCTTCCTGGCACTCACCTGAACGACTCTGTGTTACCTACTGTGGCTGCTCCTCTTCTTTGTATCCTCCTGCACGACTACGTTGCCTAGCCGTATGCCTGGTCTAAGGTTCGACGCCAAAAATCAACAACAACAAGTTCATATTAAAACGCTGAAGAGTTTTTTGTTTGTTTGTTTGAACGCGCTAATCTCAAGAATTACTAGTTTGATTGAAATAATTATTTTTGTGTTGAATAGCTCATAAATTGAAGAAGGCTATAGGATATATACAATCACTCTACGACTAATATAGGCGAAGCAGTAAAGAAAAATGTTGCAAGTACGGAAAATAGTATTTAAACTATTTTCACGCGTACGAAGTTGATTTTGTGGCGTCGAACCTTAGACCAAGCATATGGCTAAGCAATGCAATCGTACAGGAGGGTACAAGGAAGAGGGGCAGCCACAGTAGGTAACACAGAGTCGTTCAGGAGAGTGCCAGGAAGAGGTGCAGCAACCGCAGTTAAGGAACGGCTGGAACGAACAAGGATAAGCGAATCCAACTCGTGAGCCTAGACAGGGATACGCTGGTTAAGGCGACCCTTTACAAGGCTTGGGAGCATACGGGTGACGAGCTATTGGACGTGGAGAGGGTCATTAATTATACACATATTTTCTACTTTGCCGAACATTTGCACGAGAACGGTTTGTCCAAAAAATATGAATTTGGTCTTATTTAATGCAGGATTAAATGCCCTTTAACCGTCAGGAAGACCACTTTTCGATAAGGTAAGTCCTTTACGCGATATAATCGGAAAACCGAAAAAGCGCCCCTTTCGGGGGCCCCCACCACTTAAGCACAACTCCGTCGAAGTCGAAAACCTAGGAGAGTCTTAAAGGGCAACCAATGAAGCCATTAAAGCAATAAAATCTTTTGTAGGAATTATTTCCGATTTAAAAGCTAATTCTACTGGACTATTAGTACTCTAGACAGTTTACAAAGGTACAGTTACACATAAGCACTCACAAAATTTTATGATTGTTAGCATGCTTAAAACAAGCGTAAGCACGCGAACAACTCGAAATGAGCCTGCTTATTATTAAGCAATGTTTTGACACACATCAAGCAATTGCTCAATAGTGGCATGCTTTCGTGCTTAGTGTTTGTGTGCCTTAAAACTAAATACTAGCCTATTTTTAAGAGCTATTTTCTATGTATGCTAATTCGAGTACAAAATCGCCTAATGGGTAGGTACTAGAATACAGAATTCATTTTTAAAGGTCGATACAATAGAAAATTCGTCTAAAGTAACTTTATGGCATTGTCTGTGCTTACAAAGCTTTCCCTTTTAATGTAGCTTAATCACTAGGCCAACAAAGTAATCAATCAACCGAAGGCGTCCTTACATAATGGGCAAACATCGGCATTGACCTTAACCTGCAATGTGAATGAACTTGTTTGTCAGTGTACCCAAAATAACTTGTTTCAAATTATTCGAAAAGAAAAGTATTTCATTTCACGGATGATAGCCTGGTCTAGTGGTTCCCTGGGTCATGACGTCATTAGCTCGCGAATTTAACTGTCTGACAATTTATTGATTTTAAGTTTATTAAAATTACAGCCATTTGAAAACTAAGACGGTTTTTAGGGTCTATTCTATTCCAATGATGTGATCAAAGTGGATTGAAGGCGACACTTTGGTGTCCTTTGATCACCCATGTATATGATGACCTAGGTGATCAAAGTGCTTTTCTTATCCATGGGTGATCAAAGAACACAAGTGTCACTTGGAGACCACTTTGATCACCCGGGTGATCAAATCCAGGTGATAAAAGTGGNCAAAGAGGGATAGACCGTTTTTAGAGCAATGAAGTGTTCTTTAAAGAAGCTGCTGTCTTGCTTGATATATCTTCTACCCAATTATTTAGAGGTAAAATACAAACTTGACCTTCATTGGTTGGGTTTTTATTGGCGCTCAAGCTGTAGATCCTGACTACACAGGAGTTGCAGTGGTAGGACCGGGACTCCGTTAGAGTTACGTTATTTGTTCAATCATCAATCAATAATTATTATATATTTGTTTTCAGTTTCCATTGGTGCCATCATGGTGATAAAGTTAGACGACAACAATCCCACGGCAGAGACCGAGGAAGAGGACCAGGAGACCAGAGACAAGACCACGGGACTGGACAGGTATATATCTACGCACATGTAGATACCAGTTACGACAAGACTTGGATATGCGTACTTGAGTACGCTTTTACATAATAAGTCAATTTTAGAAGGTTATTCTGAAATATCCATCCCTCTGTTATTAATGAAATATTGTGAGTAGAAATTATTCATAATGAATACTATTATTATAATAGTGAAAGAAAATGCTAGCTAAAATAATAACATTTTATCTATTTCCTTATTTGAAATTGAATTTGCAAAAATATTTGCAAGGACTAGTTTAAATTGTTTGGCGAATGAATGGTTGCCAAACTCAAATACTAAAATAAAAAATCGATTATTGAACTATTTATTACAATTGATCTCTGTTGTGAATCATAATAGTTCTATTGTTGATAGTCCAACAAAAAAATTATTAAAACATTCCTTATAATAAAGAAACTAGTGAGCAAACTAGAAAGAAAGATGTCATTGATGTGCCTATGATGCTTTGTGAAGAGATGTAAATGCACAAATTGTAAGTTCCTTTTAATATTAAGGAAACGCGCTTATGATGTTAGGTTTAAGAGTTATATTTGAATGATTGAAGTCAATATTTATTTATAGTAAATATAAAATAGTTAAATCTTCGAAATGGAGGATAAAAATCTCGAAAATATATCAAATTGATATTTTGATACAACTTTTTGAAGTTTGTAGTTACTAGTTCTAGTTGCACTCACTAGTTGGCGTCACTGCTTAATTAGCCAGTGGCGCCAACTGGTGGTGTACATATAAAGCCTTTACTGAAATTGAATTTGCGCTTGATGTTAATTAATAGGTTTTAACGTAGATAAAACATTATATTCAATATAAATATTTTATTGAGTAGTAACAAATTAAAAAATAATATTTAAAAAATACACGACGAGCTTTATATAAACATGAATATTATAAGTAAATCAAAATAAAGTTTTATACAACATATTTTCTGAAACTGTAAAAGAGCTATCATCCGATCTGTGATGAATATAAATAAGAGAAACGACTATTATTATATTTTATGTACTTAGAACCTTTTTTATTTTAGTTATAAGCGAATAAACTTCAATTAAAGATGAATTTATTATGTATTTTTAATATTTAATTACTGCCTATTAATATTTAAAATAACAAGCTTCGGTCAGAGTTTAAGGCAGGATACACACCACTTGTGTTAGTAGTGTGAATCGGGCTTTATAAGACCAAATACAGCTAATCATTGAGAACCTTAATCGATATCCACGTCAGGAATATTCTCCTGGAAGTCATCTAATCACAGTCAAGCATTAGATACTATAGATAGATGAACTACAACGAACTGTCCCACCCGTGACACTGATAGGAAGCGCCACCGTCAATACCGGATCGCTGATTCAGATTTTTCCACGTGGAAACTTTAAAGTTGAACCATGGGGGCGCCCCCTGTCAATGTGAGACAGTACATTGTAGTTCATCTATATCATCAGACTCATTCTGTCATCATGAAGATAGTAAGTATTTATTATTACCTATTCAGGGATGGCGAACCAATGGCACGCGTACCATTGACGGCACGCGCCAAAATGATTAGGGCACGCCACCAATCACAAAATTCACCATACAATAAAATAATAAACAATGTGTTTTGATTATAGGCTATCGTACTTATTTAATTTTGTTCTCTGCCACTGTAGGGTAAGGTCATGTCTTTCGCCAGTGGCGCCACTGTACGATACCCCTCATTGATAGCATTAGGTGTTATTTAATGGCACGTCTATGACTTCATCAAATATTATTTTGGAAAAGTGGCACTTTGATACATAAAGGTTCACCATACCTGACCTATATTATTCCCATTTACGATCCCATAAAGACCGGTACCAATCTACAGCTATGTAGAACTGCAGAAAAAAATATTTATTAATAACATGTCATAACGTAATTCTATTTTAAGAATAACTGTTCAATAGTCTAATGCTAAAAATTGCACCATATTATATTGAGCATCTAATAGTATAGTAAGTGTTTTATGAATAAGAACACGCTGTATATTGTTTGAAGAGCTTACTCAAGCAAGAAATCACCTGCATGATACCTATTAGGTATACTCGTATCTCCAGAACTCAAAGTTCGTATTTCCTCACATCCAAAATGCCTCTTGAAATTCCTTTAGCTAATAAATCTATAGTATTCTAAAATCACAGACAATTTCATTCCGTCTTTACTGTTAACGTTAAATTACTGTTGACTTAACTGGCGCTTTGTCCGGAGGCAGGAACCAGGCTGCTATAGCGCTACCTGGAAAATTAAAGGAATTTTTCAGTCAGCACATACGAGTCCGTTTAATTACTTGGCAACAGTTCCTACCGCTGCAACTCCTGTGAAGACAGGATCTACAGCTTGATCGCCAATGAAAACCCAACCAGTGAAGGTCACGTTTGTCCCGGGGGAAAGTTAAACTGTCATTGGACCCGCAACGAAATTAATCAGAAGAACATAGGAGTTCGAAGTTAAGGTTCGACTTCACTCCAGTGCAAAGTGGATGACAGGTGACAAACAAAGGTTTAGGGACAAACCTTTAAGGACAGCCTCGACGAATTTGGTAACAGTTAGAGAGAGTGGAACTCTTCATCTTCTGATTAGCTTCCTCACGAGTCCAATGGCAAACTTTAGCCTTCATCGGTTAGGTTTCGGCGGTATAGCTGTATATTTCCCACCTCTAGTACTAGGTAAGAACGAGATGTGGGAAAATAAGAATGTGAGAACTTACTTAGCACAAGCAGCGACCAGAGGTAAAACGTGACTTGGCAGTGGCGGAAGATGAGTTTCCCGACCAGGTTGATGCCTATAAAGGTGCTCGTTCGACCCACCATGATACTGAGGCATGCCACCATCCCTCTGGAAAAAATAATGAGATTGGATTACTTCTCCTAAATAGAGCTCTTAGGGAATCAGAGAAAGTTCCAGAAAGCAATAATGTATAGAATCTATCTTGAAGTTACTATCAATCCGAATTTAGATAATCTCTGTAATATTACACTATACAGTTTTAGAGGCATTGTGCTTTGGAAACTTCTCTATTTTTTAAGGTAGTGATGGAAATGACATTGACAATAGGTGCCCAATGGTTTTGATAACGAACCTTCGGTCGCTTGTTTTATCATCAATAGTCTAGATATGATTTAGCTTCTTCATCATCATTATCATCATCATCATCATCATCATCATCATCATCATCATCATCATCATCATCATCATCATCATCATCATCATCATCATCATCATCATCATCATCATCATCATCCTCATCTCAGCCATAGGACGTTCACTACTGAACATAGGCCTCCCCCAATGCTTTCCTTAGCTTGCTAGCTTTGATTTAGCTTAAGGTGGGATTAACGAGTGTTATTGCATAATAAATATTTTTTTCAATATTGAACTTACCTGTATGAGGTAGGATACAAATCCACGAAGTACGATGCCAAGATGCCCATCCCGAGGCACGTGCAAGTGAACAGCACGAAGAAGAACACAGAAGAGATCGGCTCCGGCATCAGGTTGAGGCAAACTCCACCCAACGACGATAGGCACAAGATCGTAATTAGCACAGCCTTCCGCCGGTTCGGCAGGTACGATATGACGAAGTTGAAGAACGAAAAGACAGATTGGGATGCTATGAGGGTGACCATCACGTTTTCCTCTATTGTGCCGATGCAGACGTCTGGTGACTGGAAAGAAGATAATGAATAACTGTCCCGATTAATTTTAATTTTAATTGTCATTCTTTTGACTGGTTCTGTAATGTTGACCGTTTGTTTTATCTATGTATGTGTATTCATGTGGCAGCAAAATAAATGTTATTCTATTCTATTCTAAATAATTTCATTTTAGCCCGATGACGTTATGTGTCTTTTGCCTGAGGAAAAAGGCACTATTTGCTCGACTAAGGTAGTGTAAGGTAGTTCGTAGTGCGCACTCGCTAAAATAATATTTTGTATATCTGAAAGTGTTGTGAATGCTTATACTAAAACGTTTGTTTTTATTTGTATAGAGAACAATAGTGTCTAGACAAACCTAAAAAGGATTTAGGACGCTATTTGGATCAAATATGTAATTGCTCAATAATGAATAATAAATAAATAAATAAAATAAATAAAGGTTAAATAATAAAAAAATATTTTCCTTACTTATCCTGTTCCTAATTAACTTCATACTATGACAAATAGTTATCAGATAAATATGTCAATGCCAGGGATGGATGAGCATTGCTATCGCCAAAATTATGAAGACTTTGACAAATATTAATTTTGCTTTCTTTTGTCACTTCTAACACTCTGACATGCTCTACTCTTGCCCTGATTGGTTTAGTTAGACAGTTAAAAAAATACACATACAGCCGAACATAGGACCTCCTCTTTTTTTGAATTCGGTTAAAAAATGACTAATACAAGAGTACATCAAATTCTATACGAACCTGTTCTTCCGGGGAGATGAGAGCGCAGATGTTCCCGGCTGCTGAACCCGTCTCTAGCGATAACCGGATCAGGTTCAAGATGTGCGGTAGCCAGACGAGGAAGCTGTTGTTTCTGGAGACAAAATTCTGTTTTAGAATCATTGTAAAAAGAACCTAAAAGCAACTTTGACATAAGAGTACATAAAATAAGACTTTTAAAAAATCAGTTCGATTCAAAAACTTCAAAAACATAATCTTCATCAATGTCTAAAGTTACAAATGCAACTACTCTAATCCACTTGGATTATTTTACCTCTAAAAGCAACTTACTTATGAAAATACTAGCTTTTCGCCCGCGGCTACGCCCGCGTGGAATTTTGTCTGTCACAGAAAAACTTTATCGCGCGCGTCCCTGTTTCAAAAACCGGGATAAAAACTATCCTATGTTCTTTCCCGGGACTCAAACTATCTCTATGCCAAATTTCATCAAAATCGGGTGCGAGGTTTAAGCGGGAAAGCGTAACAGACAGACAGACAGACAGACAGACAGACAGACAGACAGACAGACAGACAGACTTACTTTCGCATTTATAATATTAGTTGGGATGATTAGGTACTCATGTGTCCTTCTAAAACCAGGGGTTTCTCATCATTAAAATCCTGACTATGCCCTCGGGACCCGACGGACCTGAACCTGACCTGATCAAAACTGCGGACCACAGACCGCATTCAGTGTGCCAAATCAATAAATGTCAGTTGTATAGATTTACGCCTTACAACTCTTAGATGAAGAAAAGGACAATGCCACGTAGATAGCTAGGCCAGCTGTGCGTTATTCCTGAACGAATGCTATTGAAAGAAACCTGTTCTCACGTGATGTACACGACGAAGACGATGTAGAACAGCTGCAGCGTGCGCCAGAGGTACGGCGCGCGGAATAACGGCGCGCTTTGTTCAAACATCGCCTTGAGGAGCGTCGTCTGCTGCTTGGCCATGTCCTCGCTGAGTTTCAAGGATTTCACCTGGAGTTTTGAAAGGAAATCCTATTAATTCTTTATGGCCTTATCTTTAATTCTTTGATCTTCTAATGACGATATTAACATCATCATAATTTCAGCCATAGGAAGTCCATTGCTGAACATAGGCCTCCCTCAATGATTTTCAGATTGCTCGGTTGGTAACGGCCTGCATCCAGCGCCTTCCATGTGTCAATATTGTCTCAAAATTGTGGGTTTTTGAATGGTTGCATTGTGATGATTCATTGGTAACCTTGCCATCACATAAACTGTTATTAAAAAAAGAATTATGTGTTTAAAGTGAATACATTATTTTAACACCTGTTAATACCCACGTGACAAGCAAATAAATAAATTAAGATTTGATGATTCATATTTTATTGTTCATGTTCACGATCACGATACATAATCATGCATTTTCTTTATTTTTTAATATCAGCGAATGTATCTTTGCTGGTAAGAGCGTGCATTGTCTGTGAAAATTATAGTAATTCGACAAATTGTAAAACACCAACTAAAGAGATTATGTTTCAAGGATGCAACAGTTTTATCTTGACTTAGTTTTTTCTTTTTTGTTTATCTACTACACCATACCCTATACTCATCATTAGAGTTTGGTTGATCGCATACATAGACATTAACACTTCCAATGCCTTGTCCGGCCGGCCCCTATTCCCCAGGAACATGGAGACTTCACGGAAAAAGCAGTTCTATAGCTAGATTTTGTTAAACTCACCCCAAACTCGTCCTTAGAGTTCCTATGGTTGATCGCGTACATGGACCTCAGAACTTCCAGTGCCTCGTCCGTTCGTCCCCTGTTGGCCAGGAACTTGGGCGACTCGTGGAAGAAGTAGATAGCAATGGCCCCCAGCCCCGAAGGTAGTGCAAGCACGATAGTGAGCAGCCGCCACGGCCGGAATGTAACTCCGAACCAGAGGTCCGCCTCGAACTGCAGTTTTAGTGTGGGGTATGTGAGCACTGGAAAGTTATTGAAGATTTCGGGTATTAGGAACGCTATCTACCGGGCTAGGATGCGCGCCGTGATATAATTTTTTATCGATTTTAGACGACAAGTGTGGCTTACGATCGATAAACGTTTATCATGAAGCGCATCCTGGGCTTACTACTGGTAAACGGGACTATTCCCACCTCTCGTTCCCACCGCTGCAACTCCTGTGTAGCCAGGATCTACAGCTTGACCGCCAATTAAAACCCAACCATTGAAGGTCAAGTTTGTCCCGGGGGAAAGTTAAACTGTCATTGAACCCGCAACGAAATTAATCAGAAGAACATAGGAGGAGTTTGATTTAACTTCAAACTCCTCCTATGTTCTTCTGATTAATTTCGTTGCGGGTTCGACTTCCCTCCGTTGCAAAGCGGATGACAGGTGACAAACAAAGGTTTAGTAACCTTTATGAAAAAATGAGCACCATGAGCTATTAGCTACCTGCCAATAATATTATGGGCTTACTGGTAAGTACGCATAAAGCATCTTAGTTAGTTTCAAGATTTTTTAACTAGCACAAGTGTGTATATGGGTATCTAATCTACGCTATAACTAACCTCCAGCAACAGCAGGTGACAGCAAGATGAGGCAGGTCATCAGCAGCATGTATTTGCTCCGCACCCTCTGGATGCAGGACTCCCCTACCAAGGTATAAGTGGCAGAGTTGGCAGCGCAGGAACTGAAAAGTATACTGAAAGTTAAGCTGGCACATTGGAACCAACAGGTGTTGAGCCTTTGAGACACATGTGGCAAGATTGTGATAAGATGTAATGTGACATGCAAGAAGCAATTTTAATTTGAAAATGTTTTATTACACTCTGTTGCTAGCTCGCCAAAGTTATTGAATTAACTTTTATGTGTCTTTCAAAATATGTAATAGCAATGTAGTTAAGTGTCATTTTAATTCTAGGTCCACAAGACAAATAGTACCTACAAATAAATCAAAAACATAATTCATGTGACCGCTTCGTTTTCATTATAGCTCTTTGATTATTTTATTAAATTGGCTTATTTGCCGGTACAGTCAAAACTCTTAATCAGTCAAAATCGCTTTTGACTGCAATCAGTCAAAAGTGGTTTTGAAGGATGCCTTGGTCCTTAGAGCTTTTGATTGATTTAAGATTTCGTCAAAAACAAAAATAAGATAAATAATGATAATTTAATTATGCGGTTTTTCTCGTAAACACTCTTACGGAGCACGTCCCGGGCACGCAATTTAAAAATAAGTAAGTAAGCCTAATTCCCTACGAAATTAGAACCGGCATTGAATCTACATTTTGGTATGGAACTTACGAGAAAGTTCTAGATCTAAGACTTCCGCGATTAGGGGGCTTATTTTGAAAGTAGCTGATTTTGGAATCGTTCGACAGGTGTACTTTAGACTTTAAAGTTCGATTGCAAGCACATGTAAATGTAGAGTTCCAAAGATAATAATTGGCTCTATTTTATAATTATTTGCAGTAAAGGAATCACTACAAGGGAACACTTTGTTGCTACTTGATGATTTAGTGCTTTGATGGGAAAATTAAGATTTCCACAGTAGTATTATAGCCTGACCAGGAACATAAAAACCCTGGCATAGAGGCGCGTCAATCGCATTTGATAGTGCAACACTGAGTACAGTCGTACCTGTGTTAAATTAATAGGCTAACTTTATGTATCAGGATTCAGGATTACGGGCTAAGATATTTTCATAAATTAACCAAAAAATATTATTATAGGTAACCTGGTTTAAATAAATTAAATGAAACCATCAATCGAGCTAGTAGGATTTATTTTATTATTCATCAATAATCAAATTCAGAACTTGAATATTCAACTGCAATGTTTGGTCATGAACGCTTCAACCTCGGTACTTCTTTCCCAATTCCATAAAATTCAACACTTAGAAAGTGACAGAAAATTTTAAAATAGGTAGTTGAAACAAACCACAGCTAATTTTCATAGTGGACTGTACTATACGATAAACATGACAGTCAATTTGACAACCTTTGTCGGAAACATTATTCAATGAAAATATTGTCCGAACCCTTAGTATTTCTCTTCGACAAATACTTTAACACATTGTGAACCACTTTTCTTTCACGACTATAAAAAGATTTTAGCAATTTAATTCACAAAATCAATTGCGCACATTTAAAATAAAGTTTGTTTACACTTTGACAGCAATAGACTGACATGCAAGGTGACATGTCAATGAAGTTTTCAGTTACTGTTGCCATTAAAAGAAATTAGTACCATTAGTTTTCCGCAACATGGCGAGGGTTTTTATGTTCCTGGTCAGGCTATACATTCTGATACCATAATGCTTCTAGTGTCAACAACATGTCTTATGAAAGAAAATAATAGATACAGATATTACTACAAAGAGTTTGACGAAATACTTTTTAGCCAAGTTTTTTCAGTTCTATATTTAGCTCGCACGCAGTCATTCACAAAAAACGAAAATGTTTCAGGGCGGAATCTCGAGCGACTACATAATAGTGCCCTTGTAAACAAGCGCGCGCGCAACGTTCTTGGCATTCGCATCAATTGCGGCGCGTCGATCACCATTAACTGCGCGGGTCATATTAATAATACACGAGGAAGTTAATCATAATCAGCCCTTTGGGCTTAGGCCCAGAACAGACGGTGAAACGCAACTGCAACGAAACTGCAACTGCTAGTTACTTTTGAGTTGCATCTAAGTTTCTGCCATAGCGTCCGTTGAGAGACCACACAATATGACGCGACCAGTTTGAAACTTTCAGTTTCATTCATCAGAATCTTCAGAAAGTTGCAGTTTCGTTGCAGTTGCGTGTCACCGTCTGTTCTGGGCCTTAGTTGACCATTAAAGTTGTCAGCAAAAAGTAATAAAAATTTCAAGAAAAGACATTACAATCGCAAATGAAGGATTTCCCTTTTTACACGACTGCGCCAAAAGGGTTATTAAGTCCTTTGTTTGGGGCTCTGGGCTGAAAGAACATCAGACTGAACATTTTTGTCGCTTTTGAGTTTTTAGCATCTAATATAACAAACTGTACTGACTGTTGAACTACAGAGGCAATTTATTTAGCTGCCGGTCAAGTGGCTCTTCATTATCATGATTTCATATGAGGCAATTGATCATATCATGAGACAAGTCATGTTGTAGCTAGAAACTAGGTATTTTATTAGACTGTTGCACTTGCCTAAACTTTCTCAGCACACAAACGACTAACGAAATGAGTAAGTATTATAACGATGATCACCTTATTTATCACGAGAATAAGCATTGTTGTGCTTTTGAAGTTAAATGAGGTTAGATAGCCAATTTTTCTGTGGTAGAAGATTCTGGATGATGCTAGCTTAAATCTTCAGCCTGATCATAACTTTTCATCAGGTAAGATGTAAGCCAAGAGCCTCCTTGAAAAGGTCTTAATGACAACTAAAGAACTCACAAGCAAACGGCCAGGGGCAAGATGTAGCCCCACAGGCCATACAGACAGCTTGGAGCAGTTAGTATCGACAGCTTCAAGCTGCAACTGCATAGCAAACCACATTATTCTACGAACACATACATGGAACCGCTAGCTAGCTTTGCAGCACAGAAATTCCATCGTGCGGTCACGTAGTCGCCAGGTATACCGACTGCTCTCGCGCAGTTACCGCCGCCCGCGCTTTTCATTTACGTCACCCGGGAGTGTAATGATCCTGAGAGTTTTATTTTTATCCACAACGAGGAAGTTCTTGGCCTGTATCTCACCTGATGGTACCTAAGTGATGATCAGGCTGAAGGTGGAAGCGAGCATCACTCGGAATCCTCAACCACGGAGGAACTAGCTATCTTACCTCTAACTGCCGGAACACAACAAGGCTGTTAAAATTGTTGTTATGGTGTCAGACTTAGGTAAGCTGGTGGTAGCTATAGTCTGGTCGGTGAGCACGTACCCCCACTGGGAATCGAACCCGGGACCTCTGAAGCAGGTGGTCTTACCACTAGACCACAGAGGCGGTTGTAATGATACTCACAAGCAAACGGCCAGGAACTTGAGGAAGGCCAGCACCAGCCTGTTAGGCGTGACGCTGCACAGGCAGGACAGCACGCCCTGTGCACTTTTGACTTGTTCAGCAGTTAATCCAACTGCTCCAGCAGATATCAATGGCATCTTTAAGCTACTAACTATAACTGCAAGAGCGGGCCGTGTATGTTGATCACTGGCTAACTGCTCGAGCTGTCCAAGTATGACTTGCCGTAGATACCACTCAAACAGGATACCTGAGGATGGATACTCACAAGCAAACGGAAATATGGAACCGCTAGACCAGTTACGACTGCTTCGGGCGGTTCGCAGCACGGAAACATCGTGCGGTCAAGTAGTCGCCAGGTATACTGACTGTCGTTACATTCCTGAGGCGGGTCGTTACATTCCCTCTAATATGGTCGAGTGAAGCGATGGCTGGTTCACTCGTCATGTCTGTGAACAGGCGCTGCTTTCGGGGACTGGTCAATCCAAGTTATTCAAATTTATGTATGCGAGTCATTTCTACTAGTATCTTAATATGTAAGTCTAGATATTAGCACGTCACTACCTTGTTTAATATACCACGCAATCTTGTATACCCATTCTTATAAGATACACCATACAAGAATGCATGGTAAATTCAGTGAACTGCTCCTGAATCGAATGTACCTACTACTACTATTTCTATTTATTTATGTTCAGGCATAATATTTTCCTCTGCATCATGTACAGAACCACCATAAATACAACTAAAAACAGGCTTGGGGAAAAGTGTAATAGAATATCACATTCACATTCATTTTCAGCTTAAAGCAAATAAGAGTAGTACTTGTGGACAAATAAACTGCTATTGATGTTAATGGACAACACATATAGTCCTTTTAACAGCCTACAGTGCACATGCGAACCATTGAAACACTTTTGTACAGATAGTAAAAAAAGGTTATTTTATTAACACAAACAAGTCCTACTACAGCTACTAGCTGTATAACAGTCTAAAACAAGTAAACATAACAGCCTTTGGCTTTATAAATGACCACGTGTGTTCTATTAAAATGCTAGCTCTATAACATCGTACAAGTAGGCCGTTAAACAGCGGTTGCCGTATCTCTACCCTCCTATAATGCTCTTAGTCAGACGGCTGACTAAAGGATAGTTGTTAGAGTATTATAACACCAACAATCGTATAAAAGTATAACTCTACACTAGTCTACACTCCTATAAGTCCCTTAGACAGGTATAGGTGTAATTAATTGCAATAATACAGCTTATACATCACGAGTGAACTGTACTAATGCTTTAAGTACACATTGGAACTAAATGTGAACTCTTAAATGGAGTAAAATGTTACTTGGGAGGTACGTAGAAATTTTTTGTCGTGTGTGTTCTAAAATGGACCTACATCATGGGCATCTTATGTGCCAGCAAATTAGAATTTCTAGGCAGGGGGGACCCTGGCCTGAACGCAAGGGATTGCGTTTAGGCACAGTATGAGGAACACCGTTTCCAGGGAAGGGGGAGGCAGCTGTGCTCCCTAGGCAGGCACTATTATAACTTCAACTACTATAACGAATAGAACTGACGAAAAACCTTTAGATGAAGCAGCGACTGGACGAAAGAAGCGGATTATCGTGAATCGTGGTAAGCCTTTTAAATGATGATGATGATGATGATAGAAGTTCCCGAAATAAGAGGGTACTTAAAACATACTTACGATAGACCAGGTTTTCCATCCCTATCCCGACCTTTGAAGGTGCTCCAAACTTGCCCTTTGGGGACGCTGTCTGGTCTTTTCCAGGGCATATTGATCTAAAAATAAAGTTATAATCAATCATCGATACTTTGATAAAGTATCATTGTTTTTGAGTGCACTTTGTATTGTTATCTAATTGATTGTAATCTTGGTACTAAGTAATGGATCTGTTGAAGGTCGCGGGAAACACCTGGATGCGAGCACAGCGGGATCGATCGTTGTGGATATCCTTGGAGGAACTTTGTCCAGGAGACATGTAAAGTGCCCCGTAAGGGCTACCTTTTTTCAACCGACTTCAAAAAAGGAGGAGATANACCTCTCAGTGTCTTGAGGCAACTTAAAAAAGTACATTCTGTGTATTTATTACTATTTAGGCAGTTAAATACTGCACAGTTATTTAGTACACCATTTTCTTTACTTTCTTCCATCATACACAAGAATACGCGTGCGTGAGTCAATGTTCGCTCGTATGTGAGGCCTTGTCGAATAGTATCCTGTAGGTGGGCCATCGTGCGTGTTTTGTTTTCGATGTAAACTCGCGGAGATGAAGAGGCCTGGTTAAGGTTCGACTTCCCTCCAGTGCAAAGTGGATGACAGGTGACAAACAAAGGTTCAAGGACAAACCTTTAAGGACAGCCTCGACGAATTTGGTAACAGTTAGAGAGAGTGGAACTCTTCATCTTCTGATTAGCTTCCTCACGAGTCCAATGGCAAACTTTAGCCTTCATCGGTTAGGTTTCGGCGGTATAGCTGTATATTTCCCACCTCTAGTACTAGGTCAGAACGAGAAGTGGGAAAAGACCCGAAGTAAGAACTTACTTAGCACAAGCAGCGACCAGAGGTAAAACGTGACTTGGCAGTGGCGGAAGATGAGTTTCCCGACCAGGTTGATCCCTATAAAGGTGCTCGTTCGCCCCACCATGATACTGAGGCATGCCACCATCCCTCTGGAAAAAATATGAGATTGGATTCGTTCGTTTCAGCCAAATGACGTCCACTGCTGGACAAAGGCCTCCCCCAAGGTTTTCCACAATGAACGGTCCTGCGCTGCCCGCATCCAGGCTCTTCCCATGACCTTTACCAGATCGTAGGTCCACCTAGTAGGAGGCCTGCCCACGCGATTGGTTTAAGATGATTGGCCCATGAGATTGGATTACGTCTCCTAAATAGAGCTCTTTGGGGAATCAACAAAAGTTCCAGTTCTAAGATAGAATCTATCAAAAAGTTACTATTAACCCGAATTTAGATAATCTTGGTAATATTAGAATATACAGTTTTATGGGCATTGTGCTTTTAGAAACCTCTTTGTTTATTAATTAAGGTAGTGATGGAAATGACATTGGCAATAGGTGCCCAATGGTTTTGATGACGAACCTTCGGTCGCTTGTTTTATCATCAATAGTCGATTATGAGTATGATTTAGCTTCATCATCATCATCATCATCTCAGCCATAGGACGTCCACTGCTGAACATAGGCCTCCCCCAATGCTTTCCTTAGCTCGCTAGCTTTGATTTAGTTTAAGGTGGGATTAACGAAAATGTTATTGCATAATAAATAGCCGCTAGTATACACCGTGAAAGTGGTTGTTTTCCCGCGGCAGAATTACCCTTAGTAGTACTATCGAATCGTGCGAGTTATTTTAAAAAAAAAAAATTTTCTCAACTAATCAAAAAAATATCATCCAACTCGAAAGCCTAAGAAACAATAGTCTTTTTTACAAAAAATGTGACGTATTTGGATATTGCCTGCCTCACGAAATTAATACTATAATACTTACAGCATAAACTGAATCGCACACGCTCCGTACAGGCAATTTTTTTATTTGAATTAAAAAAAACTTCCTTAATCTATGGTACTAGTAAGATAGAATCATTTTAAACAATTTTAAACAACCACTAAAACACGGTGTATATTTTTTTCAATATTAAACTTACCTGTATGAAGTAGGATACAAATCCACGAAGTACGAAGCCAAGATGCCCATCCCGAGACACGTGCAAGTGAACAGCACGAAGAAGAACACAGAAGAGATCGGCTCCGGCATCAGGTTGAGGCAAACTCCACCCAACGACGATAGGCACAAGATCGTAATTAGCACGGCCTTCCGCCGGTTCGGCAGGTACGATATGACAAAATTGAAGAATGAGAAGACGGATTGGGATGCTATGAGGGTGACCATCACGTTTTCCTCTATTGTGCCGATGCAGACGTCTGGTGACTGGAAAGAAGATATTAAATGATCTCATTTTAACCCAATGACGTTATGTGTCTTTTTCCTGAGGAAAAAGACACTATTTGCTCGACTAAGGCCTCCTCTAAGGATTTCCACGACTGGTCCTACGATGTTCGCATTCTGGTGCTTCTAGTTACCTTTATCAGATCGTTGGTCTGTTAAATAATAAAAAATATTTTCCTTACTTATCCTGTTCCTAATTATTTCATACTAGCTTTCCGCCCGCGGCTTCGCCCGCGTGGAATTTTGTCTGTCACAGAAAAACTTTATCGCGCGCGTCCCTGTTTCAAAAACCGGGATAAAAACTATCCTATGTTCTTTCCCGGGACTCAAACTATCTCTATGCCAAATTTCATCAAAATCGGTTGCGAGGTTTAGGCGGGAAAGCGTAACAGACAGACAGACAGACAGAGTTACTTTCGCATTTATAATATTAGTTGGGATTATGGCAAATAGTTATCAGATCTGTATTAAAAAAAAAAGATAAATATGTCAACGCCGCAGGGATGGATGAGCATCGCTATCGCCAAAATTATGAAGACTATGACAAATATTACTTTTGCTTCATGTCACTTCAACCGACCATTTGTCACTTCTGACACTCTGACATGCTCTACTCTTTCCCTGATTGGTTTAGACAGTTAAAAATGACTAAATATACAAGAGTACATCAGAATCTATACGAACCTGTTCTTCCGGGGAGATGAGAGCGCAGATGTTCCCGGCAGCTGAACCCGTCTCTAGTGACAACCGGATCAGGTTCAAGATGTGGGGGAGCCAGACGAGGAAGCTGTTGTTTCTGCAGACAAAATTCTGTTTTGGAATCATTGTGAAAAGAAGCCTAAAAGTAACCTCGACATAGAGTGCTTAATGAGGGCTATCGTTTTAGCGCTTACCAGTTAGCGCCACTGTAGAGTAAGGTCCTGTCACTTGCTAGTAGCGAAGACAGTGGCACCAACTGGTGAGCGCGAAAGTGGTAGGAGGACTATCGCATTTGCACTCATCAAGATGGCGCCACTGTAGAGTAAGGTCCTGTCAATCGCCAGGCGTGCCAACTGTTAAGTATAAAAACGATAGCCCTCATTAAAAGAGACTCAAAAATCAGTTCGATTCAATAACTTCAAAAATATTATTTTCTTCAACAATTTCTTGTCCAGAATTATAAATGTAACTTCTCTAATCCACTTGGATTCTCCTTATGAAAATATGGTTCCTGTGTCCTTATAAGACCAGGGGTTTCTCATCATTAAAATCCTGACTAGTTATGCCATCAGAATCCAGTTTAGCCAGTAAGCCTTTTCCTGTACTGTAGTACGCATATTGTCCGCATAAGTCTGGTCTGTGAGCACGTAGAATTTTGTCCAATGACCCCAAGCTACCCATCCTTATCGCTCGCGCGTAATTATATTGCTGTCGCGACTGTACGACGGGTGTACTACAGGGCTCTAGCTAGCTAGCCTAGCGGCTGGGCGTTATTCCTGAACGAATGCTAGTGAAAGAAACCTGTTCTCACGTGATGTACACGACGAAGACGATGTAGAACAGCTGCAGCGTGCGCCAGAGGTACGGCGCGCGGAATAACGGCGCGCTTTGTTCAAACATCGCCTTGAGGAGCGTCGTCTGCTGCTTGGCCATGTCTTCGCTGAGTTTCAAGGATTTCACCTGGAGTTTTGAAAAGAGATCCTATTATTTCGGACTTTTCTAAATGCAAATAAATCTTATAATTACGATATCATCATCATTTCAGCCATAGGACGTCCACTGCTGAACATAGGCCTCCCCCAATGATTTTCAGATTGATCGGTTGGTAGCGGCTTACGTTCAGAGCCTTCCTGCCGCTTCTATGTGTCAATATTATCTAAAAATTGTGGATTTTTGAATGGTTACATTGTGATGATTCATTAGTAACCTTGCCATCACATAATCTATTATTAAAAAAAAGAATTATGTGTTTAAAGTGAATATATTATTTTAACACCTGTTAATACCCACGTGACAAGCAAATAAATAAATTAAGATCTGATGATTCATATTTTATTGTTCATGTTCACGATACATAATCATGCGTTTTCTTGTTTTTTTTTTTAATATCAGCGAATGTATCTTTGCTGGTAGGAGCGTGCATTGTCAGTGAAAATGATAGTAATTCGACAAATTGTAGAACACCAACTACTTAAAGAGATTTTGGTTCAAGGACGCAAAAGTTTTATCTTACCTTAGCTTTTTCTTCTTTGTTTATCTACACCGTATCCCAAACTCATCATTAGAGTTCCTGTAGTTGATCGCATACATAGACTTACCCCAAACTCGTCCTTAGAGTTCCTATGGTTGATCGCGTACATGGACCTCAGAACTTCCAGTGCCTCGTCTGTTCGTCCCCTGTTGGCCAGGAACTTGGGCGACTCGTGGAAGAAGTAGATAGCAATGGCCCCCAGCCCCGAAGGCAGTGCAAGCACGATAGTGAGCAGCCGCCACGGCCGGAACGTGACTCCGAACCAGAGGTCCGCCTCGAACTGCAGTTTTAGTGTGGGGTATGTGAGCACTGGAAAGTTATTGAAGATTTCGGGTATTAGGTACGCCATCTGCCAGGCTAGGATGCGCGCCGTGATAAAATCTTATCGATTTTAGACGACAACACTTGTCATCTTACAATCGATAAACGTTTATCATGGAGCGCATCCTGGGCCTACTACTGGTAAGAATGCTCAAGCTCTTGCATCAAGCATCTTAGTTTCAAGATTTTTTAACTAGCACAAGTACCCCGTATAGATAAATTATCTACGAAGACGCGCCCCATCATTCTTCCGCTAATGTTTGAGTATTATCGTTGTGGTAAATACACGCTAAAGTATCCATTAGTGCACATGCACACTACAATAATGACGCTCGGATTGCTCGGCTCAAACTCCCCGGGCCCCGCGCTTCCCTCGACCAAAAATTGGTGGGGCGCGTCTTCGTGGATGAAACGATCTATACATGGGTAGCTCTACGCTATAACTAACCTCCAGCAACAGCAGGTGACAGCAAGATGAGGCAGGTCATCAGCAGCATGTATTTGCTCCGCACCCTCTGGATGCAGGACTCCCCTACCAAGGTATAAGTGGCAGAGTTGGCAGCGCAGGAACTGAAAGGTATACATAAAGTTAAACTGGAACATTGGAACCAACAGGTGTTGAACCTTTGAGACACATGTGACAAGAATGTCATATGATGTATGGTATCTCATGGTAATGTGACATGCAATAAGCAATTTGAATTTGAAAATGTTTTATAACACTCTGTTGCTAGCTCGCCAAAGTTATTGAATTAACTTTTATGTGTCTTTCAAAATATGTAATAGCAATGTAGTTAAGTGTCATTTTAATTCTTGGTCCACAAGACAAATAGTACCTACAAATAAATCAAAAACATAATTCATGTGACCGCTTCGTTTTCATTATAGCTCTTTGATTATTTTATTAAATTGGCTTATTTGCCGTTACAGTCAAAACTCTTAATCAGTCAAAATCGCTTTTGACTGCAATCAGTCAAAAGTGGTTTTAAAGGATGCCTTGGTCTTGGTCCTTAGAGCTTTTGATTGATTTAAGATTTCGTCAAAAACAAAAATTTAATTATGCGGTTTTTCTCGTAAACACTCGAGCACTCTTACTGAACACGTCCCGGGCCTTCAATTTAAAAATAAGTAAGCCTAATTCCCTACGAAATTAGAACCGGCATTAAATTTACATTTTGGTATGGAACTTACGAGAAAGTTCTAGATCTAAGACTTCCGCGATTAGGGGGCTTATTTTGAAAGTAGCTGATTTTGGAATCGTTCGACAGGTGTACTTTAGACTTTAGAGTTCGATTGCAAACACAAGTAAATGTAGAGTTCCAAAGATAATAATTTGCTCTATTTTATTATCACAAATTGCAGTACCTAAAGGAATCACTACAAGGGAACACTTTGTTGCTACTTGATGATTTAGTGCTTCGATTGGAACATTAAGATTTCCACAGTAGTATTTCATTCTGATACCATAATGCTTCTAGTGTCAACAACATGTCTCATGAAAGAAAAGAATACAGACATTACTACAAAGAATTACTTTGACAAAATACTTTTCAGCCAAGTTTTTTCAGTTCTAATATATTTAGCCCGCACGCAGTCATTCATAAAAAACGAAAATGTTTCAGGGCGGAATCTCGAGCGACTACATAATAGTGCCCTTGTAAACAAGCGCGCGCGCAACGCTCTTGGCATTCGCATCAATTGCGGCGCGTCGATCACCATTAACTGCGCGGGTCATATTAATAATACACGAGGAAGTTAATCATAATCAGCCCTTTGGGCTTAGGCCCAGAAAAGACGGTGAAACGAAACTGCAACTGCTAGTTACTTTTGAGTTGCATCTAAGTTTCTGCCATAGCGTCCGTTGAGAGACCACACAATATGACGCGACCAGTTTGAAACTTTCAGTTTCAGTCTTATTCATCAGAATCTTCAGAAAGTTGCAGTTGCGTTTCACTGTCTGTTCTGGGCCTTAGTTGACCATTAAAGTTGTCAGCAAAAAGTAATAAAAATTTCAGGAAAAAACATTACAATCGCAAATGAAGGATTTCCCTTTTTACCCGACTGCGCCAGAAGGGTTATTAAGTCCTTGTTTGGGGCTCTGGGCTTAAAGAACATCAGACTGAACATTTTTTATAGTTTTCAGCATATAACAAACTGTACTGACTGTTGAACTACAGAGGCAATTTATTTAGTTGCCGGTCAAGTGGCTATTAATTATCATGATTTCATATGAGGCAATTGATCATATCATGAGACAAGTCATGTTGTAGCTAGTAACTAGGTATTTTATAGACTGGCTTGCATTTGCCTAAATTTACTCAGCACACAAACGACTAACAGTTAGGCGATTATCACACTGCGCCGCGGAGCGCGTGATTTCATATAAAAAATCCCGCGCGCAGACGCGTTGTCAGTGTGTTGTGCCGCGCGTGTTTTCTATATAAACTGAGGTACTTGCATACAATGATTAAATCTGTCGTCCCGCGTACCGCGGCGGAGCGCGGCGCAGTGTGATAACCGCCTTACCGTCGCTCGCGCTATTCATTCCACGTCACCCGGGAGTGTAATGATCCTGAGAGTTTTATTTTTATCCACAACGAGGAAGCTCTTAGCCTGTATCTCACCTGATGGTAAGTGATGATCAGGCCGAAGGTGGAAGCGAGCTTCACCCGGAATCCTCAACCACGGAGGAACTGGCTATCTTACATCTAACTGCAGGAACACAACAATGCTGTTAACATTGTTGTCATGGCGACAGACTTAGGTAAGATGGTGATAGCTAGCCAGGCGGACTTTTTTACAAGCCCTACCACTAACCAAACCGAACAGAAAAATCTGCTCCCACTGGGAATCGAACCCGGGACCTCTGCGTCTGAAGCAGGTGGTCTTACCATTAGACCACAGAGGCGGTTGTAATGATACTCACAAGCAAACGGCCAGGAACTTGATGAAGGCCAGCACCAGCCAGTTAGGCGTGACGCTGCACAGGCAGGACAGCACGTCCTGTGCACTTTTGACTTGTTCAGCATTTAATCCAACTGCTCCAGCAGATATCAATGGCATCTTTAAGCTACTAACTATAACTGCAAGAGTGGGCCGTGTATGTTGATCACTGGCTAACTGCTCGAGCTGTCCAAGTATGACTTGCCGTAGATACCACTCAAACAGGATACCTGAGGATGGATACTCACAAGCAAACGGCCAGGAACTTGATGAAAGCCAGCACCAGCCAGTTGGGCGTGACGCTGCACAGGCAGGACAGCACGAAGCCGATCTACGTCAGCTACTGCCAGCGCGTGACTGAGATGTAGCCCCACAGGCCGAATTGACAATTGAAGCTATCGAGCTTCAAGCTGCGACTGCATAGCAAACTACAGTATTCTACGAACACAAATATGGAACCGCTAGACCAGTTACGACTGCTTCGGGCGGTTCGCAGCACGGAAACATCGTGCGGTCAAGTAGTCGCCAGGTATACTGACTGCTCAAGCTGTTTGTCACCTGTCATCCGCTTTGCAATGGAGGGAAGTCGAACCTTAACTTCGAACTCCTCTAATGTTCGTCTGATTAATTTCGTTGCGGGTCCAATGATAGTTTAACTTTTACCCGAGACAAACTTGACCTTCACTGGTTGGGTTTTTATTGACGGTCAAGCTGTAGATTCTGGCTACACAGGAGTTGCAGCGGTGGGAACGAGAGGTAGGGATGGTCCCGTTGCTCAAGCCGTCGACTGCTCTCGCGCAGTTGTTTCCCCGCACTTTTCATGTTGACGTCACCTGGGAGTGTAATGATCCTGAGAGTGTAATGATACTTACAAGCAAACGGCCAGGAACTTGATGAAGGCCAGCACCAGCCAGTTGGGCGTGACGCTGCACAGGCAGGACAGCACGAAGCCAGCCTGCATGCACACCACCAGCGTCAGCCGTCTCCCGCGCGTGTCCGAGATGTAGCCCCACAGGTACGACACGAACAGGATGCCTGGGAAGGTAATGATAATGAAAAACAAAAATACGTCTAAAGCCCGGTCCGTGAGCACGTAGAATTTTGTCCAATGACCCCTAGCTACCCATCCTTATCGCTCGCGCGTAATTGTATTGCTGTCGCGACTGTGTGACTGGCACCCGCAGTGAGTGTGCGAGCGCGATAGCAACATAATTACGCGCGAGAGATAAGGATGGGTAGCTTGGGGTCATTGGACAAAATTCTACGTGCTCACGGACCAGACTATACTTTATGGCTGGTTTTAGTCACGCGGACTGTCAGTGTGGATCGCTCCGCACAGCCGATTTGTATGAACTGCTAGGGAGCGGAGCGGTTCCTCCGGACCGCATTACTCTAAAACGCTCCCTAGAAGTTCATACAGATTGGCCGTGCGGAGCGGGTCCGGCCTTTAAACTGGTGGTGGAAGAACTAATTTTGAACTTTAGTGAGATAGCACAAGGTTCAAAATTAATGAAAAATATGTATTTTTGACTATTTACTACTTCTAATATTTCTATTTTTAATTTACAAGTTGGGTTCGATCGCCTATAACCGCGAAGTTACTTGCAAAGGCTTGATAAAAAACTTGAGCATTACTCATATCGACTGCTAAGTGAAATCGTCTGGCCTAAGACGAGTTTAAGCCAAATCCTGCTAGTTTAATAGAGGGCCGTGCTCCTGTAGTTGAGACTTCTACTAAGTTATTAATAACTTGATGATGATGAAGCAATTGCAAATGAAATGAATGAAGACCAAATCATCCATTTGTATCTGGCAATTAAAAGATCGTGCGGAAGTGGGGTATAAATGACCAGACGATGATAAGGATCATGAGCAGTTGAGCACTGACTAATCAAAGGAATGGAGGCCAAATCCTCGTTTGATAAACTTTTCACTGTACTTGTGGAGACTAAATGACCTGACAATGTTGAAGCACTTACCAACGAAAGGAACGGAGGTGATGATCCCCTTTTCCATGACCGTGAGCTCCAGGTCGCAGGCGGCGGTGATGACCAGGCTGAAGCCGAACATGTCCACGCCGATGGCAAGCAGGATGAGGGAACATGTCGCCAGCAGCAGGATGTTGTAGAGGCCATTACCTGGGATTATAACGATTATTATAAATAAATAAATCAAATCTTTATTTAGTAACTTAATTGACAGTTTAAACTCTAGGCTAATCTTAAAAATATAAACGGTAAGATTATACATGTGCCTGAACTAGGAAAATGTATCATTGGCTCGTAATAAAATCAGAGAACTAGAGGCTAGGTTAAATTCTTGGCTTGATAAATTCTTATCGATCGAAGATTTTAGACGAAAAACGAATGGGCTTATCGCGTAAAATTGATAAAATGGCGCCATCAAAGCTTATCGCGGCGCGCATCCTAGGACTATCCTTGGCCAGCAGTAAGATGTTGTGGAGGCCATTTCCTGGGATTAAAACCATTAATACACTCGCGAGCAAAAGTATGGAATCACTTACATGAAGTTGTTTCCACGCGATCTTGTGCACTAACGAATTTGTTAGTAATAAAAAAGTAGCACCATTTTAAAAATTAAACTTTTAACTTTAAATTGATACCAAATTCATTTAAATCACACCGGTATTTAAAAAGATATGCCGGCTGATGTGAAGAAGTAAGAAAAAAGACGTACCAACTGTTTGATACGTCGCGAGTTGCGGCCTATTTACCCCCCATAAAAGCACGCGTTTTCAGATTTTTGCNTTTAAGAATACATCATAGATATATATTCATCACTTTCCTACACCGGACCCAATTGAAGTTATGCCTTTCGCACGACAAGGAAGACTATAATTTTCTTAGCCGCACGGTAAGCGAGACGTACACAAGGTCTATAGACCTGGTTTCGCACTCAACGTGTTAAGAATTAATTTTGAACTTTAGTGAGATAGCACAAGGTTCAAAATCAATGAAAAATAGGTACTTTTGACTATTTACTACTTCTAATATTTCTATTTTTAATTTACAAGTTGGGTTCGATCGCCTAAAACACCGCGAAGTTACTTGCAAAGGCTTGATAAAATAACTTAAGCATTACTCATATCGACTGCTAAGCACTAATGAACTCGTCTGACCTAAGAGGAGTGTCAGCCAAATCCTGCATTTGCCTCCGGTAAATTAAAGGATCGTGCTCCTGGTAGTGGTGACTTCATGAGGATCATGAGTACTTTACCAATCAAAGAAATGGAGGCCAAATCCTTATTTTCCCTTTGGTAAATTAGTCATTGCTCTTGTAATAGGTCTCTATTCTCTAAATGACCTGATAATGTTGAAGCACTTACCAACGAAAGGAACGGAGGTGATGATCCCCTTTTCCATGACCGTGAGCTCCAGGTCGCAGGCGGCGGTGATGACCAGGCTGAAGCCGAACATGTCCACGCCGATGGCCAGCAGGATGAGGGAACATGTCGCCAGCAGCAGGATGTTGTAGAGGCCATTACCTGGGATTATAACGATTATTATAAATAACTAACGGCCGCCCGCGACTTCGTACGCGTAAACCTCGTTTTACCCCCGTTACATATCATGTTGATAGATGGCGTTTCACGGCATGAATATTTACGAACGTCAAAAACTGTAGTTTGTCCAGCGCTGTAGATTATTTAACCAATTAAGATAGATGGCGCTTTTTAGACACGTCTTAATTTATTTATTGAAATTTATTTGTCACATAATCAGGGTAATAAACAGTAGGTAATACTGTATGTAAAGTTTCAACAAAATCCATTCAGTAGTTTTTGCGTGAAAGAGTAACAAACATGTTGACATCCAGACATCATGACATCCAGACATCATGACATCCAGACATCCAGACTTTCGCCTTTATAATATTAGTAGGAAAGTAGGATAAAATAATAAATAAAATCTTTATTTTGTTAGTAACTTAATTGACAGTAAGATTATACATGTGCCTGAACTAGGAAAATTTATCATTGGCATAAGGCTTTTAATAAAATCAGAGAACAGCGAGCAGCCGGGCTTGATAAATTCTTATTGAAGATTTTAAACGAAAAACGAATGGGCTTATCGTGTAAATGGTCTATAAAATGGCGCCATCAAAGCAACAAAGCAAATCGGCGCGCATCCTTGGCCTATGCTTGGCCAGCAGTAAGATTTTGTAGAGGAAAATCATAACCTGGGATTATAACCATTTATATTTATTGGCTTAAGGTTCATTATGATCTTGGAGGAGCGAACAGGTCCCCAGCAGTTAGAATGATGCAGAGGTGTCACCTGGGTTCAACAATGAAGCTTATTAAAGTTCGCAATCGTGTTGCATCATATCCCGGTTGATTTATGAAATTTATTGGCATAATTGATTCATAAAAAAGTTCAGAGGAGGTTGATCGAATCTGCAAAATGATGTAACCGAACTCTTTGTTCACATCACATCTTATGCTTTCGTGATTCGCATTCAAGTGTGTAGGTACACTAGTTTTTGTCGTACCTAGAGATATTTGGGTACTTCTCATTTACACTCAAATGTGATGGTCACACAATAATAGTTCATAAACGGTATAAGTTAGAACAATAACTTTGAAATCAGATGATAAAATATCTATTTAGCTACATACAAAATAAATTTTATCGTAATAGAAGCAAAACTAATACGAAAACATCACATGAAACGATAAAAAACGGGGTCATTTTTCGCGTTCTCATCGTGTCACACCTTCGGTTTCAATGAAACATTTGGTTACTGCATTCACAATTTTCATTCAATTTGTGTGTAGCATATACTAAAATCATCGTAATTAAATATACTTTCCACACAATAGTCAAAAAAATATCTTCTTATAATTATTTCGAATTGAGAAAGCGAAATACGTTGGTCACACGATTTTAGGTACCTAAAATTTTGAGTAATAATACAAGATTGCCGTTAAACCGAACACCAGCAACCAATCACAGCGTTCTATTCGGTTAACGTCAGTTGTGCTCCGGCTATTGGGGAGGTGAGACAGGTCGATCGTCGCTCCGCGAAAAAAATACGTAACTTTTTGTGATTATCCATAGACATACCGTCGCTTGCTTGAACAATATTTTCTACCTCTAAAATTTAATCAATTTAATTGAAACTTAGGCCATTGAAAACTTAACATGTTAGACTTATTTGTGTAGTATTCGACTTGAACCGTTAAATTCAAATTTAAGGATAATTCATAAAAAACTAAAATTTTCGTCACCTTCGTGGCATCACCTTCGTGGTGTTTTATACACGAAGGTGATTTTAGGCCACGAAAGTGATTTCTTGCTTTGGTTTATTTTAAAATATAGTGACTGGTGTTTATGTTTTTACAATATTTTAATAACTAATAAATTATACGTGGTAAGTAGAGATCAGTACATCAATAAATAAATAAGGGCCTCGTATTTTTGTTGTCTGTCTGTATGACTGTATGTATGTCTGTATATGTGACTGTGTATCTGTTTGTAAGATAAATTTAATCTGAAGTTTGAGTTAAAAGTTGTACAACAAAAATACGAGGCCCTCTGGCCTAAATAAAAAATATATTTTTGTTGAGGGACTGATAATCAGTTAGAGTTCTTTTTTATTGAGGTACTGATAATCCGTTTTTTGCTTCTTTAGCATTTCAGAATGCCACCAGTGTCACCCTTAAAACCAATTGCGTAGAATCTTGTAACTTTGTAGGTGACGTTATCGGTAAAATTTTATCTTGTTTTTAAGTAGGTACCTATTTATAGTATGTTATTGCTATTTATCTATGAAAATAAGACTAAATATATGTTTTATAAACACTTGAGAGTCATTTACAGTAGTAAAGTTTGAAAAAATTATTGCTGTGAAGTACAGAATCACTTTCGTGGCATCAAAAAATTCAAAACGTTAAAGCTTCCAAACGAGACTCACTATTTGACTGATTTACTGAGAATACAATCTTTACATCAAGCGCTACAATTTTTGTTTACAAAAAGTTGAAATAAGTTAGAAATAAAATTTGCCACGAAGGTGACGATGAGAACCGCAGCGATGAGAAATACCCATTTACACAGTAAATTATTATTAATATTTATAATCTTATATCTGAAAAGAAATTTCATCCAGCCGCCTATGGCCCCAGGGAAATGGTGATTTTTGTACTTTTCCTTATACACACTAAACTCTATTTTGAATACATTAACATTTAATTTTAAAAAGGTACTGATTTCTATCGTAGAGTCGATTCTTTCCTCAAAATAAAGACGTAATAAATTTTACAACGTACTTTCCAGATGGGGTTTGAAAGCCCTCACATAATTCTAGCAGGCGCCATAGTAACTTTGTGCAGCAACAAACCGAAATAGGCTGAATTAAAGAATTTAATGAATTAAGCGACCATCGTCAGCACTCACAACAAAAGTGCCTGATTAACAGCTGTTCGCCGCAAAAGACGGCTCAAACAATAAACACTCAGCACATAACCAAAACAAATAAATTAAGTAACTATTCAAGAAAGAGTGGTGAGAATTTCGCAAAACGTGAGATAATATTTTAAATATAGCAAAATCATGTGACACGATATATTTGCGATGTTCATTCAATTTTAATGTGAAAAGAATTAATTATTGACTCATTCCTATTACTAAATCAATGACAAAAAGACATCATCGAAACATAAAATAATAAAAAAAATATTTGTAAAGTTTTCGTAAATATAAATTTGAAAACATAATATGAACACAAAATAATATCGTAATTTCAAAAATACATGATTACTTAATACAAAGAGAAGCTAATTAAATTATTAATGTATTTTAATATTTATAATAATTTTTATTACAATGTTAATGTTAACTGCCTCTTAAAAAAGGTAAAAACGTGTAGGTACTTTTAATTTTGCGCACTTTATACAAATGTAAATATAACTTTCTAAGAATACATTTTAATGAATTTGTCCAGCAAGTTATGGCTATGAGTAATCAATGTGTAAGATAAACATTTGTATGCTTTTAACAATGTTATAAAACAAAGATTATAAATCGGTATAAATCGCTACATGAGTTTTTTTAAATTTTATCGGCCTTTGCTTTGGGCTTGACTCAGTATTTATATGGATTTCAATAAATACCTACAGTTTAATATTATATTCTTAAAAAGGAATATTTTAAAATGTCTTTCATAGAAATGTCTAAAATTGTGCATGCGTCAGTCACTTTGACCGTAACTTTAACGATAACTGGTGCTTTTTGTATGGAGTTTGACAGATTTTTGACGTTTGTCAAAGTTAAAGTAAGATGGTGCAACTCAGCCTTAGAGTATTAAAACCATAGACTCTAAGGCTCTAAGGTATTAAGGGTGGATTCGACCAAACAAGAGTAAATATTAATTCCAGAATAAATCGTCAGTTTTGACATATTTCCCGTACTGAAACTGTCAATGTGCCAGTTATACCAGGAGTTATTCCCGGATAAAAGTTTGGACGAATCGGGCCTAAGACAATAAAAAGCTGGAAATTTACATCTAAAATGATTATTATTGTTATTATTCAGTTACTTATGTGTTATTACATAATTTAATAATAGGAAAATTAATAAGGACATCTACAAAATGCCATTTCTATTCCCCATAACAGGAAACAAATTGCACAAAATGTTACATAAAATCAACCCAATAACGTTTATCTAATTTATATACTTAAATTGCGACCTATAAAGGAAGTTACTAGTCACCGGTAATCATAGAGATTATTTTCCTACTGGAATAAATATCATGAAAATTTTGTGAAAAAATCAATGAAAAATGCTCTTTCAGATAAAGACTAACGTGAAGTCAAGATGGTTTAACAGTTTTTTAATGTATATTATGTCAATCCGCCGATTAAAGAGCGAGAGAGAAGTATGCATGTATATTTTGAAAAATACCAAATACTATTTCCCTGAAAATAAGGGCATTTAGTGCAACTAGGCTACGAGGTCAATATAAGAAACCTATTCAGAGCTTTGAAACTACCTACCTCTACATTGTAACTGTGCCTCACATTTGCCGATGCACACATTCAGCACATACAGGGATGACTTTCCTGTATTTGTGTTACAAAGACTAAGGGCAAGCAGGAATGGAATCCTGAAAATGATAGCCGAGACTGGTCTGGGCTCAGCCGTTTTGGTCCTTCCAAATACATTTGTCAAATCCGTATGCTTATAATTTTCAATATCATTGTTATATTATAGTTAATCCTAGTATTACAAAATCGGATTGTTACACACCAAAACTATGAACTAAATTGTCAAGAAAAACGGAAATGGTCTTTATTAAAGTTATAAGAATATTACAGTAATTTTACCCCAAAAAGGATGGACTCATCACTACTTTATTGAACTAAAAATATAAAATCTTATATTTTATTATGAAATTTCTGAAGTAATTTTCAGCTTTTGGTCACGAATCATGACAAAGGCATATTATTATTAACGTGTGTAAGACTGCAGGCAGGTCTTTGACATGCAAGTTCGCTTTATACTCGTACTTGCCACTTACAGTTAAATCGGCAATGGCAGGTCAAAAGAAGCTACATATTGTATTTTTATACGAGAAGTATTTTAAAATAGTATAATTTTCAACTTAAAACAATTGTTTAATCATTCTGATTTCAAACAAAAACAAAGCATCAGATCATTTTCCGGAACAAAGTTCGCAAACAATAATGACAGTCACTTTCCAAATCAAAACAAAGAATTTTCAAATCGCAACATCTCACCAGTCTTCTCCAGTGCATCCTCGAAGGGTGTTCCCGCGTCTCCCTTAACGTCGTCCGCCGTCATGTTTGCGATTAGTCGTGTCTCAGTAATCGCATTCGCGTTTAGTCGTCAACGCAGCGGACGGCCGCGCGCCTCGGCGGATACTGAATAAAAGCTCGAGCGTGGACGCGCGAGGAAGGCGCGACGCACACTGGGTTTGGTTAACGCTGAAGTATGAGATAGCGAAGACATTTGACAGATATTACAGATGGTTTGGAGTATGAGTCAGTAACTCATTAAGATGCAATTAAAGTCATTTCAATGAATGAGCTTACATGTTAAATTGCTCTACATATTGTGATAATCGCGATAAGTAATGCACGATGAATGAATTTATTAAAGATAGAATTAAAATAATTTTATTTGGCAACAAAAGACAAATAATTAATAGAAAAAAGTGAAACGATAAAGTTGCGAGTTGATTTTTCATGGATTCCGTGGAGTTAAGTATGCCCGTAAGCAGGTTTCGAGACGCCACCGGGTCCAAAGCGGGTTGTTCATACGACAACCCACTCGACACTCGATGCGCGCTCAAATTCGAAGTATTTCAATGTTTTTTATAATTTATCACTTCATTGCACTTTAGAACACAAAATAACACCAAATTTGTACACTAAAGTCCATTAAATAATAAATTGAAACCATTAACTGAACTCCGACAAACTTTACTTCGACATTACGTTACTCCGACACTACTGAATATCGACATGACTTTACTTCGACACTACACTACTTAGACAAAGGCGAATATCCTTTGTCGGAGTAGTGTAGTGTCGAAGTAAAGTCATATCGATATTCAGAAATGTCGGAGTAACGTAATGTCGAAGTAAAGTTTGTCGGAGTTTACTTAGGTAGCCGTCTAGTTCATCTTGATTTTACGTATTTTTTTGTACTTATGTACTAACTCTATATTTTTATGATGGTAAGCGTCACGCATAAAGTGATTATTGTACACACCTAATAAGTTAAGTGCTACGAATGTAAAAACGAGTATGCGTTTAACAAGTACACAATCGTCGTACAAATACAACGTAGTATTATAATTTTATCAATTAACTTCACGTGCCTTTTCCCGAACTGTATTCACGTGTTTACTATCGCATACCAAATACGTGAGTTTTAATAAAAAGTATACTTAAAGAATTATCGAATACTAGCTTTCCGCCCGCGGCTTCGCCCGCGTGGAATTTTGTCTGTCACAGAAAAACTTTATCGCGCGCGTCCCTGTTTCAAAAACCGGGATAAAAACTATCCTATGTTCTTTCTCGGGACTCAAACTATCTCTATGCCAAATTTCATCAAAATCGGTTGCGAGGTTTAAGCGGGAAAGCGTAACAGACAGACAGACAGACAGACAGACAGACAGACAGACAGACAGAGTTACTTTCGCATTTTTACATTTATTGCATTCGCTTCTTTCAGTGTGCGTTGTACGTTACACGAGCCAAACCGTATTTCAGTATGGGAAAACTGAGAGAACAATCTTCAGGAACGACACCCATGCTCATGTTCAATATACATAGCCCATTTCTTACATAGACAATCTAATCGTACTGAAATTAAATCAGAAATGTACTAAAGCAAAAACAAATCTGCTGTTATACGACAAAATGGCTTAGTGCCAAATAGGAACAAAGTCTTGCACAAGGCCAAAATGGTGACGTGACGTAGTTATATACAAAAGAAATATACGTATACGAATGTAGAGAAGAAAGTGATAATGTTCACGTGTAAAATGCTAGTCATTTAAAGTAAATTTTGGCAGAATTATTCAAATGTTTTGTTTGCATTTTATTCAGAGTACTAATAACTGTGTCCTCGTGTATATTTCTAGCTGCAATTGATTTGTTGAGGACGACGACACTGTGACGACACGTTTGAGTTATTGTACCTTTTAAAATCTTTTCTAAAATTTTTAGAATATTATGTGAAATTAACTGAAGACGGTGGGCGGATACTTGCATCGTGCGGTCCACGTAGCTTATGAACGCAGATTGTGGAGGAACACTATAATTGTGGTGGCGATCATGATCAGTGAGGGATTGAGGAAGAAGAAGAAACATTGATTGACTGACTCGCCATTCGAGAAACGCGGTTCCGAACCCCGCTGACGTTCGACTATTGTGGTGAGCTGGTGGAGCCCACCTGATACAAGCAATTAGCTTAGTTCGTTCGTTCGTTTCAGACGAAAGACGTCCACTGCTGGACAAAGGCCTCCCCCAGGGATTTCCACAAAGACCTGTCCTGCGCCGCTCGCATCCAGGCACCTCCCGCGACCTTCACCAGATCGTCGGTCCACCCAGTGGGAGGCCTGCCCCAGCCTTTAGCTTAGTACGAGGGGCTAACGGTATTATTAGTATTAACTTACAACAAAAGTACGTACCTCAGAATCATAAAAAAATGTTGTCTTCTTCATCAATATGCAAATCCTCTTTCTTCCATGATCGCCCTGACTGCCTTTGGGTCTGGCCACAGCAGCATCAGTAATGTTGACCCTGTAAAACATTTTCTGTACTAATACGGGATTATTCCCACCTCTCATTCCTACCGCTGCAACTCCTGTGTAGCCAGCATCTACAGCTTGACCGCCAATAAACCCAAGCAGTGAGGGACAAGTTTGTCCCGGGGGAAAGTTAAACTGTCTTTGGACCCGCAACGAAATTAATCAGAAGAACATAGGAGGAGTTCGAAGTTATGGTTCGACTTCCCTCCAGTTTAGAGTAGTAGTTATACTTAAAGTAATGTAACTATGGAATAAGTAGTATAGTAAACAATAATTATTATAGTTATTATTTTTAAAAGTGTTACTAAACCTCGAATAGCTAATTTCTTTGAAATTGACGCCTGACATTATTACTATTATTACCAATTTATTACAGGAAAATAATCGATCTATGCATTTTTCCTATAATACTGTTTTGCGTATGATTGCTATTATTAAGTAGTCGTAACTTTTCTTTATTTAATGCTAACTCAAATGATGAAGACCACGAAGATGAAGCTTGCTCTGCAGAAGTACAAAAATTTCGGTCGATACACCAACACACATCAGCGACTATAGAATGAAGCTTAAAACTAGTTTCAATTCAAGCATAGGTTGAGGCTTTTGATTGGTAGAGTCAATATTAGTTCAATCAAAGGACATGCATGTCATAATAAATGAATTAATCGAGGTTTGCTCGTGTTTTGTAAAACAGATGTTGTCAAAAGGATTTGAAAAATTACTGCCTGTAGTATAGTTCTAGCGCTTCAATCAATGACTGAGGTATGTAAGAGGCACGAGAGGGTGTTTTTGGGATGTCAAACGTCAGCGAGACTTCAAATGTGCTTCCGATTTTTATGCTCTGTCACTTCTAAATATATCAATGACAACCCTCCCGTGCTGCTCCTATAAAAAAAATCTATAGAAAAACAAGAGTGCCCAACACTTCTCTACCTTTCCATTTCCACAGAAGCGGAGCGGAGCGAAGATGTGCAATTAAAAGAATCTGCTTGGTTATTTAAAAAACTTCTCTGCTCCGCTCTGCACCGCTCCGCTTTGGTGTAAACCATACCTTAAGCGCTAGAACTAACTATACTAAAAAGGTTGTTTTGCCTGTGGTTTCATAGCTTCTTACCTGCAGTGATGAGTGTGTTGGCGAAGAACAGCGGCAGGCAGTGTTCGCGCATGGCCAGGCCCATGACGTTGGCGCCGACCGCTGCGCCCGACCGCCCCGCCATGTACAGAGTGCAAAGGGCCAAGGCTCTAGGTTAAGAAATAAGGCAGTTTGAGTGGTTTGAGAACGTAGATAAGAAAAACCACTTATCATTATGGCTTTAGGTAATATTTTAAACACCAAAATTTCAACACTCTAACCTGAACGAAAAGTTTGGCGCCCACCGCCGCGCCTGACCGCCCCGCCATGTATAAATTGCAGAGGGCCTGGCTCTACATTGGAAAATAAAGTAAAAAAAAAAAACTCTGGCATATGTAGATAAGAGCAAAAAACATTATCTATTTATTTATTTCTTTAAAACTTATATGCGCATATAACACAGCACATTAACTACTACATATTGAATAAGAAATGATAGGTAGAATCAGTATTAGTGGACTCAGACAAGACAAATTAACAGAGCATTACCTACATGGGTAGGTAAAGGACTTGTAAAATCAGTATTTGCGTACGAAAACAAGACAAAATAACATAAGGTTTTTAGGTAACTTATAATGATGATTTTGGGGTTATTTCCACTCCTTATAAATACAATCCAAGTTGACCAAATGAAACTTTACACGGCACACGGCACGGCATGGCATGGCATAAAGAATCATTACTTATCAGCTAATTATTGGATGTAGGTAATGACAAGGAGTTCAATGAAATCTCCCACTTTTTATTCTATCGCTAGTGGCGCCACTCTCTACTTCTTCTGAAGACCATCGGTCTAACGACCAGCCTTCGTATCTCACCTCACACTGGTAGGGAACACCTCCACAGCAATGGCAGCGAGCACAGAGGCTGCGCAGCCGCAGCACAGGCCGACGATGAACAACGTGATGGCGACTATCGGCTGGGGAAGCACGCTGGACGCTGCCAGCATTAGCGAGCAGACTGCCAGCACTGAACCTGGGGATTTAAACAAATAGGTATGGTCCAGGTCCTAGACCATACCTAATAGGTATATATACCAGATAGGTATTACCTATCCTAGACTCTAGGATGTTCGTCGGGACAGGCCTCGCTACACGGGCTCACACTTATGCTCAGCGAGACGGAGATGGTGTATTTTTAGTGGGTAGGCCCCTCCCTTCTGGAGCGGAGAACCCCACATAACCCGTCGCCTGACCACAGTGGCGGGTGTGCATCTCAATGTATTTTTACCACCCAAAGGATGCTCGTGATCATCCACAACTTATGTTGTAAGTACAGTTAGGACCAACGCCAACATAAAGTTAAATGCGACGATCAACGATCGCCATGTCCTTTGCAATGTACCTACCTCATCAATGCGATTTTTCCTAAGTTATTACGCAATTTAAAGAAAACAGTCAAGAAGAAAACTCCAGTTGGTTGATTTGATAAACTTTACACTACATCCAATTAATGGTTGAAAATTGGGACTCTGTCGACCCTAGAATATCAGATTCGACCCCAGGAGGTTAAAACAAAGTTTGGAAAACGCTCTGAGTCATATTATACCTCTGTGACCCTAAAATTTACTAAAAAGTTACAGATTGATTAATAAAATAATTGAGCGTGCGGGTAAATAAATAAGTAAATAAGGATTAAGACGATGAATATTGATACATTCAAATGAAAGTAATCAAGGACCACGTGTGGATTACTCGACCGATTATCATAGAAATGTATATGCTTACAAATATCTTCTGGATATTTTAATTGTAGAGTCCAGTAATTTACTATTTACATACGTCTAATGAGATTAGCAGTTCTTCTCGTAATTACGACAACCTTTTATGAACAACATAATGTAGTATTATTTTTGATTCTAAATATAGTAAAATGCATGCACAATAGTAAAATATTGCAGAGCATGTGAATAGAAGCCTAAATTAGTGTAACACTTGAGTGAGATAATAAATTATTTATATTTGCAGAGACATCTTCAAGCAATTTCATGACACTGCTAATGGATTTAATCAACTTGTTTTCCTGCAGTAAGTACTTGTATTGTGATTAATGAATGAACGCTTCGGTATTGAAGACTGAAAAATTTAATTGAAATATGAAAACATTAGGAAAATAAAATAATATTTCGCCGAGGGTAGAGCAAAATATTGAGTTACTGACAGAATTTATGAATAGAAAATAATGACCAAGGATTGGCCTATGTAGAAGAAATGTAAGGTACAGCATTCAAGGCAGTAACATTTTATTTGCACAAAAAAAATAAGTAGTCAGATGTTTCTCGAATTAAAACTGCAAATTCTGAGTTTTGACTGTACATTCATTCTGTGACAGACCAATGTAAAGGCAGACGAAGCCACGGGCAAAAGCTATTAAGCTATAAAGGTCAGTACAGTAACAGTAGGTCGACCAAAGATGTACCGGCTAATCCTGTCGGCCCCCCATTAAGTGGTGTGTTGGGTCCCGCCGCGTTGGGCGGTACATCCGCGGGAGGCGCCTTGGTAGTTCCTAGTACCCAAGGCGCCGACCACTATGCTGCAGAGGGAACACCCCAGGTTTTTAGTGGGTTTGAGCCCCACAGAACCTGCCGTCCCCCGGCGGTAGGAATGGATAGGCCATTTTCCTGGGTAAAAAAAAGGTCAACCAAAGGTCTGGTGAAGGTCGCGGGAAGTACCTGGGTGCGGACAGTGCAGTCGTTGTGGAAACATTTGAAAGAGGCCTTTGTCTAGCAGTGGACGTCATTTGGCTGAAACGAACTAACGAAATAAACTTACAGTAGATGCAAATCTTGTTGCGTGTGCGCATGATGTAGCCGATAGCGACGTAGGTGGTGGCGCAGATCACGCCCATGGCGATCGACACCGGGAACACTAGGGGGTTGATAGTCTTCCGCTTGCAGGTGCGTTGTGTGGACACCTGAAAACATCACCAGTTGTAGTCATGATGCTACTACATGAAGCTAGGGACTGGAATTCGCTGCCTGCTGCTGTCTTTCCTGAACACTATATTGCGGGCTTTTTTAAGGCGATAGTGAATAGGCACTTACAGGGCAGATAATGTACCATCCTAGACTGCATCTCACTTAACACCAACCAGGTGCGATTGCGGTCAAATATCTGCTTTGTCTTACATAAAAAAAAAACAATATAATGTGAGTTTTGAGAAATGCACTTCAGTTCGCTTCTGAAAAGGACTAACGAAAATTGGAGAAACAAGGTATCGAAATGAGATGCTCGATGCTTAGAGACGTTGAACAAAAAACTATCGAAGAAAGAAGCTATCGCACTCTGAAGGTTTCAGTGTAAAGTCGTCGATGTATCAATTTTCGAAGTCACATAGAGCTATATAAATTTTGACCGTGAAGAAGTCTGAGGATGCTCGTGTATTTCATGTAAATTCATAGCATCGCTTCGGGGGAATGGACAATTAAATTAACTTAGGGCTAGTATTAAATCATCAAATAAATCGAACCAACCGCTGCGGCTTTTTGCTTTGCCACCATGACGTCACACATGCTGACAGACTTGTGCACGTTGAACAGCATCTCGTTCAGGATGTTGGGCATCCAAGTGTAGAGCCCGCTGGATCTGAAGCAAATCATGACTTCAGCCAAGGGACGTCCACTCTTGGTCAATCATAATCCACAACGACCGGTCCTGTGCTACCCGCACTCAGGAAATACCTCATTATTTTGTGGACTTCTTAATGCCTTCGCACAGCATCAAACCATGAAGCGTATGCCCACCATTCGTGGACAGCTTGAAAAAGTAATTATCTACAGCTTCAAGTTGTGTACGGACGGAAGCAGTTGTGACTGCTCGGGCGGTTTCGTCTGCAGTTNTGCCAAAATCACTAACTATGAAATAAATAGAAAGATAAACATAAATATACTACACTCCACTACTTAACTGATCTCTAATTACTAGATAATTTATAAAAAACGCAAAAGCAAAAATTGAGACAACCGCCTAGCTTGACGTTTCCCGCGCTTTCAACTTTTTTTCTTTATTATGACAAATACAAAATGAGGTTCTTATTTTTTAAACTATTTTAGAGAAAAGAAAGAAAGTGTCATTGCTTAAAAAAGGAATAGCTTTGAATTTCAGAATTATTTTTTATGTTTGTCCGTGTTTAGTGGCCAGTATCAAATTAAAAGGAATTTCAGATCGTTAATAATTAACTTTTTTTAAAAATAAAACCGACTTCAAATGCGTGAACACAAAAAAAAAAAACTAAAAATTAAAAACATTGCGTATAAAAAAGTTCATCCCCAATTTTCCACCCTTGGGGGTGAAATATTTTCTTCAAATTCGCATGAAACCACCCTTTTGATAATACCTATTCAACAAAAAAATAATCGTTCAAATTTATTTATAATCGGCGGAGATATTGCGTATAAAAAAGTCCATCCCCAATTTTCCACCCTTGGGGGTTGTTTTTTCTATTATTAAATTTAAATGGGACCACCCTTGAGGTATTACCTATACGCCGAAAAAAGATTAGTTCAAATCGGTTCATAATTGGCGGAGTTATCGCGTAACAAACATAGAAAAAAAACATACGGGTCGAATTGAGAACCTCCTCCTTTTTTGAAGTCGGTTGAAAAATAATAATTATCAATGGATTTGTTATTCTTATCAATTTTTCTCACACTTCTCTGAATGGAATCAATACAAAGGATACATTTATAGCTTACGAGAAAGGAAGAATGCTATTTAACTTCATAATAATAATGTCTATAATTTTTTTAATCCAATCTACTGTTAACAGTTTAATCACTCAATACACGTTTGACAGATTAATGGTGGAAAGCTCTTACGAAATTACAAATATAGCTTCCTTATTATTGGTTACTTCCTTGCTTTAATTCGTTCGGCCATCACTTTCTAAATGTTAACAAGCTTTGAATGTTAGATACTGGCCCTTTAGATCAGCAATAATGTGTTCGATAACGTTTAAACTAAATAAAAATGAAACAGTTCTAAAGCCACTATCTTGAATTAAAAATTATGCAATTTAAGAGGTGTTTTTATTGAATGGCGAAAATATCTACCAGATGCGCAATTGTTTTGAAATTTTCTTTTATTCAGTTTTCTTTTCTATTATGATTTTGCGTGTCTAATGGCCAGTGTCTACACTGCCAGTGTCAAATTAAACTAATAAAATGCTTTAATTTTTTTACAGGGGATAGGTAATGCAAGTTTGGTAGAGTCCCTAATTTTTATTTTATTTTTACTTTTAATCACGCCTCACTATAGAGAAAACATAACCAACGAGGTTTGTTTGTTTATTAAATACATTTCTAGTTATACTTGAATGTATTATAGAATTTCGTCATCAGGATATGTCCATAAGAACGTACGAGTGGGTGCATTGCTTGTGTGCTTGAGTCAGAAATGTTAAGTCCAAATAAAGTGCGTTCGGGGAACATTCGTGGCAGTGAGTCAGTGGGTAGCCAGAGATAAATTAGGAGCCGACAGGCGCCGACAGACTTAGTCACAGGCTCGTGTCATGACCAGGATTAAAAAATTTGGTGACATAACGCGGACTACGGGCTTTACGCACTACATTAAACTTTTTTGCTGAAACCTCTTTTCTATTTTTTTCAGGCTGGCTTTTAGGTACCTAATATATTTTTTTACAATTTTAGAATTTCTTAAATTAACTTTTGGCGTCCGTTTAAGTAAAATCATTTACTTTAGTTGTATTTTCGCAAGTTCTGTTAGAAGCTTTATGTAAATGGAAGATATTATTGCTTATTATGAAGTCCTAGATATGAATGACGCCCGTATTCACAAACGATGCTTGCGTAAGTGAAGCAGCAAATCGAACGCACAGCATTAAATCTGTGATTGGTTCATGTGTCACCCTGTGCGTCCACGTGCACTGTGAGACCTCATAGTAATATTTGTGAATACGAGCATGAATGAAGAAGAACTTTAGTTTATAGGTGAAGTTTAAATCACTTGTCTTAGAAAATACTTTTGAATCGGTCGACTTGTAAGAACCAAATAAGTCGGTTAATTAATTTGTCGAATGCAATCAAATTCAGCAAGTAGCGCGTATGCCAAGCCGCGGCATCGGTATGTGGAGATTGCACACTGAAGATCCATTTGTAAGTAAAATAGCATTCAAGTTTCTGGCACGCAACGTGTGCTGCCAATTGGTTTGCTTAGGTATATGTATTGAATTCATTTATAATGTTCAGGAAAAAGAAGTAGGTTAAAATAATACCACTTCGTTTCAATCATTTTATAGCCAAGATTGGCAGCTTGGCCGCCAATTAACTCTAACCGCTCGATATGTTGTTTTAGAAAAACATAACTAACAGCCCACACGCAACAAACCTGAAAAAAAAGTACCTATATGAAGAGTTATTGATTAATAATCATCCAAAACTAACTAACAAAGCGCAAAACCGAGGATCCTTTACCAAATTTTTTTTGCAGACGACATAATTCTGTAAGTTGCAATTCAGCGCTCATATGCAGATGCAAGTGTGAGCAGTCTCGCTCGATATCAACATGTTAGGGTACTTACTATGTGTACGGTGATGTAATTGTGTGTACGGTCAGCAAAAGTAAAATGGTAGTTATTTATTGACTTTTATGTTTTAACTAAAATAGAAAGACACGGGTCTTAACGCGACATTTATTAATGAGTTACATTATGTAATAACTACTCATGTCGTGTTTTAAGACCCGTGTCTTTCTATTTTAGTCGAAATGGAACGCGAAAGTGTAAAATTTTATGTTTTATTCGTAAGATCCTCTAACTATGGTATTACATTACGTATGCTATAAATAGGTCTACATAATACAACTTTTAAGCTTGTGGCTGTACTTTGCCTAAGAATAGTCCTATCCTACCTGTGTAGTTCAGGTTGTGTATTGCGTTGACGAACGTCAAAAGCATTCTATCATTCTACCCACAAGTGCAGCGCTGAACACGTGGGAGTGTGTGGATAAACACATTCAGTGTGCAGTGATCTGACGCTTAGTTAGGGTGGCCATATCATGGACGACTTTTTACAGGACTTTGATTAGTGAATAAATCGGATGGTTTGTGGATGAGTCAAGGATAAATCATTCTTAAACCCTTACCATAAGAACCACTTGCTTAATGCATCGATTACCTGTCACTTGTTATGCAGAATACATTGAATGTGTTATCGCAGAAACAATTGCTAAACGAAAGGGTTTCAATTTTGCCAAACACATATTTATCTACTTATTTTCATTCATTTAATGTACCAGAGCTTACGCCTTAACATTCGGCGCTATACTTTTTGCAAGTGGGTTCATTGTACATAATAACAATTATGTCATCACAATTGTAATCATTCATTATTCATCCATTATCATCAGGTATCACTCCCGGTTTGTCCCGACAATTCCGAATGCCCTTGTCACCCTAACAGTGACTCAGTGCACTTTGTGCCGCCTCCTACGCGCCCATTGATTGGAATAACCGACTGATTGTCAAATTGTTCCCATAGATTACTTAGAATCATGGCCATGAAAGTGTGGATCATGATAGAGTCTATGGTAGAGCACCCACTTACTTAACTCAATGTGAAATACCATAACGATGTTTACTTAAAGTAACTAATTCCATACATTAAAAGAGCAATCTACATGGAGTTGCTATTTTTACAATAGTATCAAAAATTAGAAACGTGAATGTGTGTTAATGAAAAGATTTACCTACATCTCGAACTGAAAAAGTGATGCAGACTTAATGATTTATTGATTAGAAACTCATGATTCAGATTAAATATCTGAACCCTGCCCGGACTAAAAGCTGTATCTACAGCTATTGATTCAGACTTTGACTCTTGGTTTTTACATTTTTACACTATCTTCCTATATTTATGAATAAACTGGGAGACGTAACATAGCGAGATAGTGCTTATCATTGACAGCTATAAGATGTTTCTAGAATTCAAGATTGTGATATCTTGATAATTTAACTTTACTGAGAAATGTAATATTTATAGCTAAGATAATGTATGTTGTAAGGTATGATAGACCCAACTAATCCAACACACATGTCATGTAGTAGATATGCACTCATGGATTTTAGTACTGTACCGATTTTGGATTGAATAATATTTTCTTTATAGTTATCTATGAGTGGTCCCAGTCGCCGGAAGAAAATAATTTAATTTTTACGCATCCGGCGACTGGGACCGCGGTCCCAGTTAATTGCGGTCCCAGTCGCTGGAAGCCTCCCACAAAGGCAGTATCTCACAAAAAGTGATAAACGATCGAGTATCGTTCGCGTAATTTTCACAAGATAAGAAGACTGTTTCATTGTCAATTTGTAACAATATAATATCGTGATTGTGATCTTGAGACAGGAGCGGATTACGGATTAAAAGCATTACATATTTTCTAAACACAAGTTCAAACTTAACCAAATATAAAATCTTTACGTAAAACTAAACACTTTCCGTGTGGAGGAACGCTATCTGTGGTCGCGATCCTCATCAGTGAGGGACCGGGGAAGAAGAAGAAACACTTTCCTGTTCTTTAGTGGCAACATTGCTTATCAAAATCAAAAAATCAAAATCAAAATCAAAAATATTTATTCAGTTTAGACCACAAGTGGCACTTATGAACGTCAATAGAAAATAATAAAAAAAGAAAAAGGTAGCCCTTATGGGGCACTTTACATGTCTCCTTATCTTTTGGGCCCTACCAGCGCTTCGAGACAAACATATGGCAAGTGCTGAGAAGAAACGCCGGAACAAACTCAGTCAATCAATCTCACAAAGAAGATTATTATGGTTTGAAGCAAAATTGAAGTACCTGCCAAATGTATAATCGTAAATGGACGATATTTTTTATTAATTTAGACAAAGTTGTCTATAATCGTAATCAAATAAACTTTTAATTTCATGAATGACAAAGATGTCAGTGAATACGTCCCCTTCGCTGCGTGGAATAACAGCAAGAACAACAATAAGTCAAACAATACTAAAGTTGGCAACAATTATCGAGAAAGTGAAGCTTTTTAGTGGCCGCTTGATAAGACGATTACAAAGAGAATATCTAGAGTACCTACATGACATAATACCTACCTGTTTCACAACTAAGCCCTATTTTGAAATGACACTCAATCTATTAACGTTTCAGAATCATTTGAATATCCAATTAATGTAGCTTTGGCTTCGTAATCGTACCTATATGTTAGATCCCAAGGTTAGATCCCATGCTATGTTTGCATAGGAAATTAAACCTATCACTTGTATAGCAACGAACAATCACCTGATTGCTTTAATGTTAGTAACGATCGATGTGTAAGAATCAAATTAGAAAACTCTACCAACCAACCCTTGCATTGAATTAACAACAATCTCGTTGCGGTAAACTGGTAGAACTGTCAAAACCGCAAAATACATAGAAATAGATACTGATTGTAAATAAGGAAATAAGAAAGCGAATACAAGCTTTTAATGGCAACCCCTTTGATTCAAACCGCAGCTTTCATGTTGCACAATGAGCTTTGTAAAAGCGACAGAACGTCAAGTAAATTAAATAACTAAAAGCTTTTCTTGAGTCAACCACCTACTGTATTGTCTTCCGACTTACATAAGCACATGCACAAGATTTCACCTCAAACCACGAGTAGCTATGGAAAGTGCATCAAAGTCAACATAATTATCAATCCACAGACGACAGTGACCTCAGAGATGCAGAAAAATAAAAGATTACAATAATACAACTTTTACAAAAACTTTTTGTTGTGGGAATCGAACACTCGACTGACCAAGAACCCGTATGAAAAGAATAGATCAACAAGCTTAAAATGAATACCCCTTTTTCGTAGACCATCAATTGTTAAACTTCAGTGAAATATAAAAAGACTATAAAATAGGACAGAAGGGATGTGATGTGATAGGGTAGTAGAGAAAAATAATAATCGTAGATCGCATCAAAAACATGTTTTTTTTAAATTGTGTCTCTGTCTACATTGCCCAAAAAAATTGCACACTGAGCAGTTGGTAACGAAAGTAAACAGGCCTTCTGTTATTCAATTAGTCATTTTATTATTTGCATAATTCATATTGATATTAATCATTATTTCCGTAAAATTATGACTTCCATCACAATCAAAATAAATCGCCTTAACGAAGCAGTCGACAAAATATTGCCTGTAAGTGACTAGAAAAATAAATATCGTAAAACATCGACGTTCAACACGCATCTGTTAGTGTGGTGGATTGCAGTGGACTGTATGCGTTTGTGTGTGTTCGAGAGCGCTGACCGGACGATGATGACTGCCGTTGAGAGCTTGCCCTTACTATGTCAGGCGTAGTAGGTGCTACTTGCAGGAATAAAACCACTATTTCACTTGCTGAGACTTCTCGCGTTTATTATTCGCTTCCTTTTCTCAGTTCTTGCTTCTTCAGATCACTTGTTGCTTGGAGCACTTGTTCTCTGAACTGAACAAAACAATACATGCCAGCTGGAGCGGTCCATTCCGTATTTATGGGGAGCGGCTATCTCCGTCCCGCTTTCACACGCTATTGCTATCCCTGTCTTCGGGAAATCCACAGATTTTGCTAATTTTCTCCAACTGGCAGGTAGNAAGGACGGTTCGATATATCCAGAGATATTTTTGGATAAATATAAATTTGATTGGCATTAAAGAATTGGGCAGTTGACACCAAAAGAATAAAATCGGAACACAACTTAAAAAAAACTAATTTGAAATGGAGTTCGTTCTCAATTTGCCTTACAATAATTCGATTTAATGTTAGTAAGGTTTTAGCAATAAATTGTTAATCAATTAAGTAGATGGAGTCTTGAGCTAGCTAGCTAGTTAAAGGTTATCTGGAAGAAATCGCTTCTTAGCAATAAGACCGCCCTAATTGTGTTTCGATTTGGCATTTTTCTTACGTGAACTCTTTCTCACTTTTCTAAGTGAAACTTTTGGTGAATAATGAAGTATAATATTCTATCCTGTAATCGGAAATATGGCCCAAAGCATGTCATAGTAGGCTTGTCCAGTGTAAGAATACTTAGCAATTAATGATCTCATTTCCATGTCTGGTGCTCTTCATTACCTGAACTAATTTAGATAAAGTTAACTCACAAGCAATTGGACTACATAAATAAAAATAGGTACCGTTATCTGAAGAATAATGGTGTTTTAATTAGTTTTAATGTGACTAGAGTTAAGCGACAGGATTTTTGGCGTCTTTGCCATACCTAATTGTTGTCGATAATGTACTATCTTTTTTTTTTTTTTATTTATTTATATGGCATACCAACAACATATATAATATTATACTCTTATTCTACCCTTAACCTGTTATAGAGCAATCATTATACGTTGGTATTCTATCAAATATTAAAGTTTTGTTCTCCTGTCATTATCTGATTCCGAATAGGTAAGGTATAGATAAAATAGGAGAAATACCTACTTCCCTTTTGGACTTATAGGGAATGTGTGATGGAGGGCATGACATAACGTAAATTGTTGATATCAAAGGACCCGACTGCTAAGTTAGGCAGACCGCAAACTATCTGGATAGCAAGGGTCTAAAAACACATGAAATAAGAAAATCACGACTGCTAGGTTTTCAAAAAGCCAATGAGAATAATTTAAACTCAATTCGAATAGCTGAAAATGATGGTCAGAAACCGTGATGATAGATAATGTAGATGAAAATGATGTTTCAGAAACTGTAATAACAGATTCTCAACTATAAAGGTACTTACAAACAGAACACCATAAACATGGAGAAGTGCGAGATGAGCACGCATCTGAGGAGTGGCGGCTTCAGCAGCTGGCCGAAGTTCTTGAACGCCTTGCAGAAGCCACGCTGGGCTAACGCGGTGGACAGGGTTATGGACTTCACCTGGCAGATAATAAGGTTGATTTACCATAATTTTCAGGAACTTTTATTGCAAAATATTTGCCAAAAAAAGTGGATCTGCAAAGCACTTCATAACAATGCTGATGAGAGTTCACGCTTTGTTTGATAAATGAGTTCTGATGCTTGATAAATGTAATTCCAAGCGTCAACCTTTCCATAACTCGTAAGTGACAACAGCCATAAATAGGGCCTGCACCAGTCAATTGATATAATTACTTTTTTATGCGGTTAAATACGTTGTTTCTCTATAGTGTTTTAAGGAGATGCCCAAGTTTAACGTCACTCACAACTTTGTTTTTAAGCGAACTAATCGAATGTATTGATTTCACATCAACTTCGAATCGAATGTAGCAAATAAATGTAAACGAGTCAGCTTTTTTTTCTTTTTTTTTGTAATAAATGTATCTTTCTTTCTTTCTTTCTTTCTTTCTTTCTTTCTTTCTTTCTTTCTTTCTTTCTTTCTTTCTTTCTTTCTTTCTTTCTTTCTTTCTTTCTTTCTTTCTTTCTTTCTTTCTTTCTTTCTTTTCATACTTGTGTCCAATACCCTATATAATAGTGGCATGCAGTAAACACAAAGGTTATGAAGAAGTCTTACTGGATAATCCTCCTTCTTCTTCTTATGGTTCCAAGCGTAGATTCTGGCTAAGACTGGGATAGCTTTGATCTCTCCTTTAACTGCGTAAAGAAACCGCGGGCTCTCAGGCAAGAACACCATGATGATCGCTGCCAGGACTCCTGGTGATGAGGAGAAGAGGTTTAGTCCTACGGGACTGTAAAGGTAATCCAAGATTTGTAGAGAAAATACGAGTATTGAACTTCTTCTGTGGTTTCTTTCGAATCGAATCAGAAATGTCCTCAGATCCGCAGGAGAACAAAAGTGACAGACATAGCCCACAGAATCGCTGAAATCAAGTGGCAATGGGCGGGGCACATAGCTCGTAGAACAGAGAGTAGAGGCAGAAAAGTTCTCGAGTGGCGACCACGAGCTGGAAGGCATAGTGTGGGCAGGTTTCCCACTAGGTGGACCGACGATCTGGTGAAGGTCGCGGGAGGTACCTGGATGTGGGTGGCGCAGGACCGGTCTTTGAGGAAAACTTTGGGGGCGGCCTTTGTCCAGCAGTGGACGGCTGAAACGAACGAACTTATTCTACGGGGATAGAACCTTCGACATCTGGCGTAGTTGATTCTAAAGAACCTGTAAGATTTGGGCTGTTTCAAATAAACTTGATCTTGTATTATCGGTTTTCCAAAAAAAAAATGCAGTACGCGTCTTCTGTCGAAAGCTGCAATTTTTTTCTCAACCTCTTAAAAATACTGTCATTTTCTTCACTGTACCTACTATAACGCCCGTATTTACAAGCGACGGTTGATTAATCGAACGCACAGCATTGAATAGGTATCACCCTGTGCGTCCACGCGCACTGTAAGACCTCATAGTAATGTTTGTGAATACGGGCATAAGTATCTTTGAAATTGTGAATATCAGTGTCACTTATTTGCTGCTAAAAGTCAAAAATCTACCAGGTGTGCACCAAGACCAGATGTACGCTCGCCATGGCACCATCTTCACATTGATTAGGGTGAACGACCAGTTGCTGGAGAGGATCAGCCACGCCATGACTGCAGTAGATGGAAAANTTCCATACTTTTGCTCGCAAGTGTATTTATTGACATAAGGTTCATTATAATCTGGGAGGAGTAAACATGTCCCCACCGGTTAGGATGATGCAGAGGTGTCACCTGGGTTCACCAATGAAGCTTATTAAAGTTCGCAATCGTGTTGCATCATATCCCGGTTGATTTATGAAATTTATTGGCATAATTGATTCATAAAAAAGTTCAGAGGAGGTTGATCGAATCTACAAAATGATGTAACCGAACTCTTTGTTCACATCACATCTTATGCTTTCGTGATTCACATTCAAGTGTGTAGGTTTTTGTCGTACCTAGAGATATTTACACAGTAAATTATGATTAATATTTATAATCTTATATCTGAAAAGAAATTTCATCCAGCCGCCTATGGCTCCAGGGAAATGGTGATTTTTGTACTTTTCCTTGTACACACTAAACTCTATTTTGAATACATTAACATTTAATTTTAAAATGGTACTGATTTCTATTGTAGAGTCGATTCTCCCTTTAAAATAAAGAGTGGTAATATTTACAACGTACTTTCCAGATGTGTTTTGGAAGCCCTCACATAATTTTAGCAGGCGCCATAGTAACTTTGTGCAGCAACAAACCGAAATAGGCTGAATTAAAGAATTTAATGAATTAAGCGACCATCGTCAGCACTCACAACAAAAGTGCCTGATTAACAGCTGTTCGGCACAAAAGACGGCTCAAACAATAAACACTCAGCACGTAACCAAAACAAACAAATTAAGTAACTATTCAAGAAAGAGTGGTGAGAATTTCGCAAAACGTGAGATAATAGTTTAAATATAGCAAAATCGTGTGACACGATATAATATGCGATGTTCATTTAATTTTTTTTTTTTTTTTTTTTATCCACAACGAGGAAGCTCTTGGCCTGTATCTCACCTGATGGTAATGTTAATAATTATTCGTTATTGACTCTTTCCCAATAGTACTAAATTTTTATCAATTACAAAAAGACATCACGAACTAAGTCTATAACTATTAATAAAAAATATTCGGAACTACGAAAAAAAATTTGAAAACATAATTATGAACACAAAATAATATTGTGGTTTCAAAAATACATAATTTAATACAAAGAGAAGCTAATTAAATAATTAACGTATTTTAATATTTATTTAATACTGCCTCATAAAAAAAGGGAAAAACGTGTAGGTACGTTTAATTTTGCGCATTTTATTCAAATGTAAATATAACTTTCTAAGAATACCTTTTAATGAATTTGTCCAGCAAGTTATGGCTATGAGTAATCACTAATCAGTGTGTAAGATAAACATTTGTATGCTTTTAACAATGTTATAAAACAAAGATTATAAATCGGTATAAATCGCTACATGAGTTTCTTTAATTTTATCAGCCTTTGGGCTTGACTCACTATATGGATTTCAGTAAGAAATACCCACAGTTTAGTATTATATTCTTAAAAAGGAATATTTTGAAATGTCTTTCATAAGAAATGTCTTAAATTGTGCATGTGTCAGTCACAAAAATACTATCGAAGAGTAGCTGAGTTGCACCACCTAACTTAGACCGTAACTATAACGATAACTGGTACTTTTTGTATGGAGTTTGACAGATTTTTGACGTTTGTCAAAGTTAAAGTAAGATGGTGCAACTCAGCCTTACAGTATTAAAACCATAGAATCTAAGGTATTAAGGGTGGATTTGATCAAACAAGAGTAAATATTAATCTCAGAATAAATCGTCAGTTTTGACATATTATTATTTCTCATAGTGAAACTGTCAATGTGCCAGTTATACCAGGAGTTATTCTCGGATAAAAGTTTGGTCGAATCGGGGCTAAGACAATAAAAAGCTGGAAATTGACAACTAAAATGATTATTATTGTTATTATTCAGTTACTTATGTGTTATTACATAATTTAATAATAGGAAAATAATAAGGACATCTACAGAATGCCATTTCTATTCGCCACAACAGGAAACAAATTGCACAAAATGTTACATAAAATCAACTCAATAACGTTTATCTAATTTCTATACTTAAATTGTGACCTATAAAGGAAGTTACTAGTCACCGGAAATCATATGATTATTTTTCTACTGGAATAAATATCATGAAAATTTTGTGAAAAGATCAATGAAAAATGCTCTTTCAGATTGAAGAGCGAGAGAGAAGTATGCATGTATATTAAAAATACCAAATGAAAGATAGAATTAAAAATACCAAATACTATTTCTCCGAAAATAAGGGCACTTAGTGCAACTGGGCTACGAGGTCAATATAAACCTATTCAGAACTTTGAAACTACCTCTACATTGTAATTGTGTCTCACATATTTGCCGATGCACACATTCAGCACATACAGGGAAGACTTTCCTGTATTTGTGTTACAAAGACTAAGGGCAAGCAGGAATGGAATCCTGAAAATGATAGCCGAGACTGGACTGGGCTCAGCCGTTTTGGTCCTTCCAAATACATTTGTCAAATCCGTATGCTTATAATTTTCAATATCATTGTTATATTATATACTCAACATCAAATAAACCGCACCTTCCGCGACGCGAACTTTAACGATTTTCTTCTGACACAATCATGCTACCCCAACAATATTGGTGTTATTTGAAAGCCCAATAAATATCCTTAAAGAAAAACACATTTAATTTCTTAGTAAATGATTAACATATACCATAAATGTGACTTGAAAAAATACCTCACTTTGGGCTCACCTCTGGGATCAATTAGACCAATTTTTATGGTTATAAAACCAAATAATGATTTCACGTGTCCTCTTTAACAGATGGATAGCAATTAAACCCAACTTAATAGTTTTATAGCCATAAAAGTTGGCTTTAGCGTAACTACCTATTTTTTGAAGAAGTGACTCTGGATCCTTCTAAAAACACATTTTTAGGGTAAAAACCTTTCCTTTAATGAAATAAAGGTTAGAACTAGGCTTTTAAATGGTACCAATATTGGTGAGAAGTGGGGATGCATACGTTTGAAAATGCTTGTCGCGGGAGGTGCGATTTATTTGACGTCGAGTGTAGTTAATCCTAGTATTACAAAATCGGATTGTTACACACCAAAACTATGAACTAAATTGTCAAGAAAAACGGAAATGGTCTTTATTAAAGTTATAAGAATATAACAGTAATTTTACCCCAAAAAGGATGGACTCATCACTACTTTATTGAACTAAAAATATAAAATCTTATATTTTATTATGGAATTTCTGAAGTAATTTTCAGCTTTTGGTCACGAATCATGACAAAGGCATAATTATTAACGTGTGTAAGACTGCAGGCAGGTCTTTGACATGCAAGTTCGCTTTATACTCGTACTTGCCACTTACAGTTAAATCGGCAATGGCAGGTCAAAAGAAGCTACATATTGTATTTTTATACAAGAAGTATTTTAAAATAGTATAATTTTCAATTAAAAAACAATTGTTTAATCATTCTGATTTCAAACAAAAACAAAGCATCAGACCATTTTCCCGAACAAAGTTCGCAAACAATAATGACAGTCACTTTCCAAATTAAAACAAAGACTTCAAATCGCAACATCTCACCGGTCTTCTCCAGTGCATCCTCGAAGGGTATTCCAGCGTCTCCCTTAACGTCTTCCGCCGTCATGTTTGCGATTAGTCGTGTCTCAGTAATCGCATTCGCGTTTAGTCGTCAACGCAGCGGACGGCCGCGCGCCTCGGCGGATACTGAATAAAAGCTCGAGCGTGGACGCGCGAGGAAGGCGCGACGCACACTGGGTTTGGTTAACGCTGAAGCATGAGATAGTGAAGACGTTTGACAGATATTACAGATGGTTTGTATGAGTCAGTAGCTCATTAAGATGCAATTAAAGTTATTTCAATTAATGAAAACAAATGACAAACAAGATTACATGTTAAATTGCTCTACATATTGTGATAATCGCGATAAGTAATGCACGATAAATGAATTTATTAAAGATAGAATGAAAATAATTTTATTTGGCAACAAAAGACAAATAATTAATAGAAAAAAGTGAAACGATAAAGTTGCGAAAAAGTAGGTACCATCTTGACAGTGTAACTGCCAAGTCACTGATTTTCAGTGGGTGCCTTATTAGTAGCGCTGGAGGAAGAATAGGAATGATAAAAGTCTAGTTCATCTTGATTTTACGTATTTTTTTGTACTTATGTACTAACTCTATATTTTTATGATGGTAAGCGTCACGCATAAAGTGATTATTGTACAAACCTAATAAGTTAAGTGCTACGAATCTAAAAACGAGTATGCGTTTAACAAGTACACAATCGTCGTACAAATACAACGTAGTATTATAATTTTATCAATTAACTTCACGTGCCTTTTCCCGAGCTGTATTCACGTGTTTACTATCGCATACCAAATACGTGAGTTTTAATAAAAAGTATACTTAAAGAATTATCGAATATAATTTAGAATATTTATTGCATTCGCTTCTTTCAGTGTGCGTTGTACGTTACACGAGCCAAACCGTATTTCAGTATGGGAAAACTGAGAGAACAATCTTCAGGAACGACACCCATGCTCATGTTCAATATACATAGCCCATTTCTTACATAGACAATCTAATCGTACTGAAATTAAATCAGAAATGTACTAAAGCAAGAACAAATCTGCTGTTATACGACAAAATGGCTTAGTGCCAAATAGGAACAAAGTCTTGCACAAGGCCAAAATGGTGACGTGACGTAGTTATATACAAAAGAAATATACGTGTACGAATGTAGAGAAGAAAGTGATAATGTTCACGTGTAAAATGCTAGTCATTTAAAGTAAATTTTGGCAGAATTATTAAAATGTTTTGTTTGCATTTTATTCAGAGTACTAATAACTGTGTCCTCGTGTATTTCTAGCTGCAATTGATTTGTTGAGGACGACGACACTGTGACGACACGTTTGAGTTATTGTACCTTTTAAAATCTTTTCTAAAATTCTTAGAATATTATGTGAAATTAACTGAAGACGGTGGGCGGATGCTTGCATCTTGCGGTCCACGTAGCATAAGAACGCAGATTGTGGCGGAACACTATAATTGTGGTGGCGATCATCATCAGTGAGGGATTGAGGAAGAAGAAGAAACATTGATTGACTGACTCGCCATTCGAGAAACGCGGGTCCGAACCCCGCTGACGTTCGACTATTGTGGTGAGCTGGTGGAGCCCACCTGATACAAGCATTTAGCTTAGTTCGTTCGTTCGTGTCAGCCGAAAGACGTCCACTGATGGACAAAGGCCTCCCCCAGGGATTTCCACAAAGACCTGTCCTGCGCCGCTCGCATCCAGGCACCTCCCGCGACCTTCACCAGATCGTCGGTCCACCCAGTGGGAGGCCTGCCCCAGCCTTTAGCTTAGTACGAGGGGCTAACGGTATTATTGGTAATAACTTACAACAAAAGTACGTACCTCAGAATCATAAAAAAATGTTGTCTTCTTCATCAATATGCAAATCCTCTTTCTTCCATGATCGCCCTGACTGCCTTTGGGTCTGGCCACAGCAGCATCAGTAATGTTGACCCTGTAAAACATTTTCTGTACTAATACGGGACTATTCCCACCTCTCGTTCCCACCGCTGCAACTCCTGTGTACCCAGGATCTACCTACAGCTTGACAAGTTTGTCCCAGGGAAAAGTTAAACTGTCATTGGACCCGCAACGAAATTAATCAGAAGAACATAGGAGGAGTTCGAAGTTATGGTTCGACTTCCCTCCAGTTTCTGTACTACTAGAGTGGTAATCATATTTATTATACAGGATGTAATATGCAATCAATATAGAAAACAATTATTAAGTATTATTTTTAAGTGTTGCTAAACCTCTAAGAGCTAATTTCTTGGACGCCTGACATTATCACTATTATTACCTATTTATTTATTACAGGAAAATAATCTATCATGCATTTTTCTTATAATAATGTTTTGCGTATTCTGTTATGATTGCTATTATTAAGTATCGTAACTTTTTTTATAAGCTAACTCACATGATGAAGACCACGAAGATGAAGCTTGCTCTGCATAAGTACTAAAATTTCGGTCGATACACCAACACACATCAGCGACTATAGAATTAAGCTTAAAACTAGTTTGAATTCAAGCATAGGTTGAGGCTTTTGATTGGTAGAGTCAATATTAGTTCAATCAAAGGACATGCCATGCATGTCATAATAAATGAATTAATCGAGGTTTGGTCGTGTTTTGTAAAACAGATGTTGTCAAAAGGATTTGAAAAATTACTGCCTGTAGTTTAGTTCTAGCGCTTCAATCAGTGACTGAGGTATGGAAGAGGCACGGGAGGGTGTTTTTGGGATGTCAAACGTCAGCGAGACTTCAAATGTGCTTCAGATTTATATGCTCTGTCACTTCTAAATATATCAATGACAACCCTCCCGTGCGGCTCCTATAAAAAAAATCTATAGAAAAACAAGTGTGCCCAACACTTCTCTACCTTTCAATTTCCACAGAAGCGGAGCAGGGCGGAGATGTGCAATTGAATCTGATTGGTTATTTAAAAAACTTCTCTGCTCCGTTCTGCACCGCTCAGGTTTGGTGGAAACCATTCCTTAAGCGTTAGACCTATACTAAAAAAGTTAAGAGTATTGTTTCGCCTGTGTGTTTTTTTTATCCACAACGAGGAAGCTCTTGGCCTGTATCTCACCTGATGGTGGTGATCAGGCCGAAGGTGGAAGCGAGCTTCACCCGGAATCCTCAACCACGGAGGAACTGGCTATCTTACCTCTAACTGCCGGAACACAACAATGCTGTTAACATTGTTGTTACGGCGACAGACTTAGGTAAGATGGTTTCATAGCTTCTTACCTGCAGTGATGAGTGTGTTGGCGAAGAACAGCGGCAGGCAGTGTTCGCGCATGGCCAGGCCCATGACGTTGGCACCCACCGCTGCGCCCGACCGCCCCGCCATGTACAGAGTGCAAAGGGCCAGGGCTCTAGGTTAAGAAATAAGGCAGTTTGAGTGGTTTGAGGACGTAGATAAGAAAAAACACTTATCATTATGGCTTTAGGTAATATTAATATAACACAACGATTGCCCATCACGTTGACGTCCACCTTCGCGCCATGTACAGTTGCGGAATGAAAAGGTTCGTCACCTTAGTGTCGGTTTTCGCTTGCACCAAAGAGTCAAACCTGCCAACATAACAGTGCAAGAAACAGTGCTGCTAACATTTAAATAAATATGACGTTTGCTGACGAATAAGGTTTTGCTTGTTTATTTTTCTATCCCATCAGTGCAATGCAATGATGACATTGTCCAATTGACAATAGTTTTTTTTATTTAATGGACATAATAATGGCAGGTTGAACCAACAAGAAGGTTTTAGTTTATCAATCATAATAATCTTCTTGACAAGATAAATCGTCAAACAACTTTGATCTGAATAATTTTGAACTTTACTTACAAACAGTTAAAGATTATTTTCTCTAATTTGAGATTATTACAGAACAATCCCAATCATAGTTTCAAAAGGTATTATGTGCTCGCGATTCGTTGAAGGAATCAATTTGAAAACTGACGAACCTTTTCATTCCGTGACTGTACAAAATGCACAGGGCAAGGGCTCTTCATCGGAGAAGAATAATATCTACACTCAATTCAACTAGGATGCTGTGTTTAATTAGAAGGAACATATTCAGTAGGTTAGCAGGGCAATCCAATCGGACTTAGCTTCTCAATTGGGCTATTGTAGGTACGTGAGAGATTCTGCCCATTCAGGAGCGGATACATTGGGTTGAGGCTAGACTAGAAAGAGAATAGCACGATTTATTTGAAAGTAAACACCCAATGCATTGGCATTTTCATTAGTTCTACTGCACCGAAGTATCGGAGTCTTACCCAATAAAAGGTACATATAAAGTAAAGATCCCATTAGGTATGTATAACATTTTTTTAAATGGTTGGTACGCCTACATAATGATAGAAATTATATCTCACCTCACACTGGTAGGGAACACCTCCACAGCAATGGCGGCGAGCACAGAGGCAGCGCAGCCGCAGCACAGGCCGACGATGAACAACGTGATGGCGACTATCGGCTGGGGAAGCACGCTGGACGCTGCCAGCATCAGCGAGCAGACTGCCAGCACTGAACCTGGGAAAATAAACAAATAGGTATGGTCTAGGTGAGCGGTTCCCAAACTTATTTTGTCTACTGCCCACTTTGCGAATAAATTCTTTTTTAACGCCCCCATTTTTGTAGTCAAGAGTCGAGTGATCAGTCGGTGTCTAAGAGAGAGAGAGTAGATGAAATTATAAATCGCCTCCCAAGCCTCTAACCATGCCCCGATTTTTTTCCGGAGTCTCTTACCGCCCCCCTTTAAGCCTGCAGCGCCCACAAGGGGCGTTATCGCCCACTTTGGGAAAGACTGGTCTAGGTCCTAGACCATACCTATCCTAGACTCTAGGATGCTCGTCGGGACAGGCCTCGCTACACGGGCTCCCACTTATGCTCAGCGAGACGGAGATGGTGTATTTTTAGTGGGTAGGCCCCTCCCTTCTGGAGCGGAGAACCCACATAACCCGTCGCCTGACCACAGTGGCGGGTGTGTCTCAATGTATTTTTACCACCGTAAAAAAAGGATGCTCGTGATCGTCCACAACTTATGTTAGTTAGGACCAACGCCAACATAAAGTTAAATGCGACGATCAACGATCGCTATGTCCTTTGCAATGTACCTACCTCATCAATGCGATTTTTCCTAACCTATTACACAATTTAAAGAAAACAGTCAACCAGGAAATTCCAGTTGGTCGATTTGAGCTTTATATTACATCGAATTAATGCTTGAAAATTGGGACTCTGTCGACCCTTGAGTAGCACAGGAGTATAAAACAAAGTGTGGAAAAAAGTTATAGATTGATTAATAATTATGCTTGCGAGTAAATAAGTAAGTAAATAAGGATTAAGACGATGAATATTGATACATTCAAATGAAAGTAATCAAGGACCACGTGCGATTACTCGACCGATTATCATAGAAATGTATGTGCTTACAAATATCTTCTAGATATGTAATTGTAGAGTCCAGTAATTTACTATTTACATACATCTAATGAGATTAGTAGTCTTTTCGTAATTACGACAATGGTCTTGCTTGAGATCTTGATAAACAACATAGTGTATTATTTTTGTTTCGGGACTATTCCCACCTCTCGTTCCCACCACTGCAACTCCTGTGTAGCCAGGGGGAAAGTTAAACTGTCATTGGACCCGCAACGAAATTAATCAGAAGAACATTATTTTTGTTTCTAAATATAGTAAAATGCATGCACAATAGTAATTGTAGAGCATGTGAATTAGTGTAACACTTGAGTAAGATAATAAATTATATTTGCGGAGACATCTTCAAGCAAATTCATGACACTGCTAATGGATTTAATCAACTTGTTTTCCTGCACTAAGTACTTGTATTGTGATTAATGAATGAACGCTTCGGTATTGAAGACTGAAAAATGTAATTGAAATATGCAAACATTAGGGAAATGTAATCTTTTGCCGAGGGTAGAGCAAAATATTAAGTTACTGACAGAATTTATGAATAGAAAATAATGACCAAGGATTGGCCTACGTAGAAGAAATGTAAGGTACAGCATTCAAGGTAGTAACATCATATTTGCACAAAAAAATTAAGCAGTCGGATGTCTCTCGACTGTGCATTCATTCTTTTTTTTTTCTCTATTTATTAATTTAGGGACTTTTACATAGTACATTCATTCTGTGACAGACCAATATTTAGGCAGGCGAAGCCACGGGCAAAAGCTGATAAGCTTTAAAGGAATACTATTAACACTAGGTCGACCAACGATCTGGTCGCGGGAAGTACCTGGATGCGGGCAGCGCAGTTATGGAAATACTTGGAGGAGGCCTTTGTCTAGCAGTGGACGTCATTTGGCTGAAACGAACGAACGAACAACAACAAATAAAAAACTTACAGTAGATGCAAATCTTGTTGCGCGTGCGCATAATGTAGCCGATGGCGACGTAGGTGGTGGCGCAGATCACGCCCATGGCGATCGACACCGGGAACACTAGGGGGTTTATGGTCTTCCGCTTGCAGGTGCGTTGGGTGGAAACCTGAAAATATCACCAGTTGTAGTCATGATGCTACTACATGAAGCTAGGGACTGGAATTCGCTGCCTGCTGCTGTCTTTCCTGAACACTATATTCCGGGCTTTTTTTTAAGGCGATAGTGAATAGGCACTTACAGGGCAGATAATGTACCATCCTAGACTGCATCTCACTTAACACCAGCCAGGTGCGATTGCGGTCAAATATCTGCTTTGTCTTACATAAAAAAAAAACAATATAATGTGAGTTTTGAGAAATGCACTTCAGTTCGCTTCTGAAAAGGACTAACGAAAATTGGTGAAACAAGGTATCGAAATGAGATGCTCGATGCTTAGAGACGTCGAACAAAAAACTATCGAAGAAATAAGCTATCGCACTCTGAAGGTTTCGGTGTAAAGTCGTCGATGTATCAATTTTCGAAGTCACATAGAGCTATATACATTTTGACCGTGAAGAAGTCTGAGGATGCTCGTGTATTTCATGTAAATTCATAGCATCGCTTCGGGGGAATGGACAATTAAATTAACTTAGGGCTAGTATTAAATTATCAAATAAATCGAACCAACCGCAGCGGCTTTTTGCTTTGCCACCATGATGTCACACATGCTGACAGACTTGTGAACGTTGAACAGCATCTCGTTCAGGATGTTGGGCATCCACGTATAGAGCCCGCTGGATCTGAAGCAAATCATGACTTCAGCCAAGGGACGTCCACTGTTGGACAAGAATCTCCACAACGACCGGTCCTGTGCTACCCGCACTCAGGAAATGCCTCATTAATTTGTGGACTTCTTAATGTCTTCGCATAGCATCAAACTGTGAAACGTATGCCCACCATTCATAGACAGCTTGAAGAAGTACCTAAGTATAGACAACTTCAAGTTTTAATAATATTATAGATGTACACAACACTCATGTCTGAGATAACTAGAAAAGGAAGAAAAAAAAGGTCATTCCTTAGAATGGTAGCGCAGGACCTTTTTGAAAATAAAGGAAGAAGATTTGCGCAATTTGGCCGGAAGGCCGCTCCAGAGCCGTACAGCGAAGACTAGGAAAGAGTTGGACATGAAGCCAGTGCTATGATGAGGGGCAACTTCATAGCACTACGGAAGCAGTTGTGACTGCTCGGGCGGTTTCGTATACCTTGTGTACTGCAGTTTGCTATGCAGTTGTAACTTGAAGCTGTCGAATACAAGCTATCCGTGCATGGCAGGCCTTTTATGTATTTAACTGCCTACTACCTAATAAGGAATTTAATAAAACGCTTCAAAATTGAAATCATCGCACTTCGTTATTTCAATTAGCAGATGACCTAATAGCAATGTATGAGATTTCAATCAATTGCAATCATTGCGATTTTGTTGCGCTGATTCATTGAATTTCAGCGGGTAGCACTTGACATAAATTGTGTTCTCGCAAGTTCCTTTTGATGGCCTCAAATTGTTTCTGTTATATTAATTTCAAAGTAAATACGCCGCTATTTTAAGAAAGAGGGTTTGATATATCCAGATATATTTTTGGATAAATATAAATTTGATTGGCGTTAAAGAATTGGGCAGTTGACACTTGACACCAAAAGAATAAAATCGGAACACAACTTAAAAAAAAAAACTAATTTGAAATGGAGTTCGTTCTCAATTTGCCTTACAATAATTCGATTTAATGTTAGTAAGGTTTTAGCAATAAATTGTTAATCAATTAAGTAGATGGAGTCTTGAGCTAGCTAGCTAGTTAAAGGTTTTCTGGAATAAATCGCTTCTTAGCAATAAGACCGCTCTAATTCTGTTGTTTCGATTTGGCATTTTTCTTACGTTTCACTTTTGGTGAATAATGAAGTATAATATTCTATCCTGTAATCGTAAATATAATATGGCCCAAAACCCGTTATAGTAGACTTGTGCCAGTAGTAAGAATACTTAGCAATTAATGATCTCATTTCCATGTCTGGTGCTCTTCATTACCTGAACTAATTTAGATAAAGCTAACTCGTAAGCAATTGGACTACATAAATAAAAATAGGCGCCGTTATCTGAAAAATAATGGTGTTTTAATTAGTTTTAATGTGACCAGAGTTAAGCGACAGGATTTTTGGCGTCTTTGCCATAATTATTGTCTGTAATGTACTATCTGCCCTTAACCTTTTATAGAACAACATACTTAAGTTGGTTGGTATTCTATCAAATCATAAAGTTCTATTCTCCTGACAGGGGCTAGGTCATCATCTGATTCCAACTATAAGATATAACTAAAATAGGAGAATAGACATACCTACTTCTCTGTTGGGATATGAGGGAATGTGTGGTAGAGGGGCTAATCCTTTGTTTGTATTTGTGTCTGTGTTTTTTTTTTTCTATATTATATTACAGAATCCGACTGCTAAGTTTGGCAGACGTCAACTATCTGGTTGACAGATATCCAAAGAGACATAAGGGAGTTGAAAGAAGAAAATCAAGGCTGCTAAGTTTTCAAAAGTCAGTGAAAATGTTTTAAATCTATTCGACTAGCTGAAAATTATGTTTTAGAAGCCGTGATGATAGATACATAGCTGAAAATGATGTTTCGGAAATTGTGATAACAAATTCTCAACTATAAAAGTACTTACAGACAGAACACCATGAACATGGAGAAGTGCGAGATGAGCACGCATCTGAGGAGCGGCGGCTTGAGCAGCTGGCCGAAGTTTTTGAAGGCCTTGCAGAAGCCGCGCTGGGCTAACGCGGTGGACAGGGTTATGGACTTCACCTGGTAGGTAATAAGGTTGATATTACCATAATTCTCAGGAACTTGCAAAATCTCTGCCTAACGAAGTAACAAGCGAACCTGCAAAGCCCTTCGTAACAATGCTGATGAGAGTTCACGCTTTGTTTGATAAATGAGTTCTGAAGCTTGATAAATGTAATTCCAAGCGTCAACCTTTCCATAACTCTAAGTGACAGCTATTATTAGGGCATCCACCAGTCAATTGATATAATTACTTTTTTATGCGGTTAAATACGTTGTTTCTCTATAGTGTTTTTAAGGAGATGCTCAAGTTTGACGTACTCACAACTTTGTTTTTAAGCGAACTAATCGAATGTATTGATTTCACATCAACTTCGAATCGAATGTAGCAAATAAATGTAAACGAGTCAGCTTTTCATACTTGTGTCCAATACCCTATATAATAGTGGCATGCAGTAAACACAAAGGTTATGAAGAAGTCTTACTGGATAATCCTCCTTCTTCTTCTTATGGTTCCAAGCGTAGATTCTGGCTAAGACTGGGATGGCTTTGATCTCTCCTTTAACTGCGTAAAGGAACCGCGGGCTCTCAGGCAAGAACACCATGATGATCGCTGCCAGAACCCCTGGTGATGAGGAGAAGAGGTTTAGTCTTACGGGAAGGTAAAGATAATCCAAGATTTGTAGAGAAAATACGAGTATTGAACTTCTTCTGTGGTTTATTTCGAATCGAATCAGAAATGAGGAGATCAAAAACTCATTAAAAACTCATTAAAACTCATTTATTTCTGTAAATAGGCTTAAAAAAAGCACTTTTACACGTCCCAGTATTAACCCTACCACTGCTTCAGGACAATAAATGGGTCAGTGCTGAGAAGAAGCAGCGCAAGAAACTCAGTCACTATTGTCAGCCTCTTTTTCAAAGGTTTACATGCTTTAAAATGTACAAAGTTATAAATATTTATGAGAGTTATAAATATTTATGCGATCCGCAGGAGAACCAAAGTGACTGACATAGCCCACAGAATCGCTGAAATCAAGTGGCAGTGGGAGGGGCACATAGCTCGTAGAGCAGAGAGAAGAGGCAGAAAAGTTCTCGAGTGGCAACCACGAGCCGGAAGACGTAGTGTGGGCAGGCTTCCCAGTAGGTGAACCGGCGATTTGGTGAAGGTCGCGGGAGGTGCCTGGATGTGGGTGGCGCAGGACCGGTCTTTGAGGAAAACTTTGGGGGAGGCCTTTGTCCAGCAGTGGACGGCTGAAACGAACGAACTTATTCTACGGGGATAGAACCTTCGACATCTGGCGTAGTTGATTCTAAATAAGTGGACCTGTAAGATTTGGTCTGTTTCAAATAAACTTGATATTGTTTTATAAGTTTTCAAAAAAAAAATGTTGTACGCGTCTTCTGTCGAAAGCTGCAATTTTTTTCTCAACCTCTTAAAAATACTGTCATTTTCTTCACTGTACCTACTATAACGCCCGTATTTACAAGCGACGGTTGATTAATCGAACGCACAGCGTTGAATAGGTATCACCCTGTGCGTCCACGCGCACTGTGAAACCTCATAGTAATGTTTGTGAATACGGGCATAAGTATCTTTGAAATTGTAATATATCAGTGTATTTTATTTGCTGCTAAAAGTCAAAAATCATACCAGGTGTGCACCAAGACCAGATGTACGCTCGCCATGGCACCATCTTCACGTTGATGAGGTTAAACGACCAGTTGCTGGAGAGGATCAGCCACGCCATGACTGCAGTAGATGGAAAAAAGCTGGTTATGATGATGAATTTGAATTTGAATAAATAATCTGGTTGAAGCTAAAATTGAAATGCTGTTAGGTTTGCAATTTGAATCCGCAGAAGGTAAATAATTCTGATTATCTCTAAAACGTACATTTGAAGACTTCNTCTCCCCCGCAGTGCGAAGCACTCCCTCTTCTGGATGCGACGTCTTGGCAGGAACCAGGACTACCACTCGTCGCGTCGGTTGCCGTAGCACTCCTCCGGGTGTTCGCACGTCGAGGATTCTTACTCTGCCGTCCGGTCCAGGATACACTCGCAGCACTTCCCCTCGTGGCCAAGTGTTTCTTGGTAGTGTCGCGTCGACTATTAATACGACGTCGCCGACTCGAGGGTCTTCGGTCTCCCGGTCGGCTATTTTCCTCGGCATCAAAGTTGGCAGGTATTCCTTCAGCCACCTTTGCCAGAAGTGCTGCGTTGTCCTCCAGTTTGCCTTCCCGATTAGGTAGCANGATTATCTCTAAAACGTACATTTGAAGACTTCAGAAGCTAAAGCTTTTTCAAACTGTTTATTACTATTCCACACGTTACAAAGATCTTTAAAATTTTATTCCACATCATATTTAGAATCCTCAAAAAAATATTGGACAGTTCGGACTCTGTCGGGCATAGCAAAATAGAGGAGAGGATGACGCGGATTCATAATCGTAGGTATTTTCTATTAAAATTAGACGTATTTTTTTTTATAAAAAATGGAACAAAAAAAAACGTGAAAATTTTATAGTAGGCATTCAATAGACATGTTTTTCCTGTCATATTTTATAACATCATAATACAATCTCAAGGCCTGCTTCAATGTAGGTCATTGTACATTTTTCTCCTTACATAACGTTTAAATGCGCGTGCCAATTTCTGGTAGTTAGGGCACTTGTTTGCCAAATGTTTCGCTATTAATTTCTCGCAATTTCCAACAGTATAAGAAAACAGGACTGTAAGGGTATAGAAATAGAGCATACTATTAAAATAGCTTTAGCTATAGATATGCTAGGGAATATGGAGAACCCGTGGTAGACTCGACGACGCGTGTATTCATTGAGCATTCGTAATTACTATACTATTAATAGGTTGTTTTGATGGTATTTTATTTTATTTGTACAAAACACACATACAGAGTACAATCAACAAGGTACATTTACAACCAACAATAAATACAGTTTTAATCTAGATTGTAATCCAAAAAAGTGTTTCTGACATGTTCAACAAGGTATGTTTAATAAAATTGGATTTTAATAAAATTGCATACGAACTAACTCATACGAACGAAGGGTCAATGTCGTTAAAGCTACGGTACCCATTGATTTAGATTATTGACTCTCTGAAGGATGAATTGCCCAATAAAGGTGGTAGGGAGACATTAGGATGCCTGTTGGGGACCGTTCAGGGAAGATCAATGGGACCTATATTCAGTAGAGGAAATGGACATCCTATTGACTAATAGAAAGCACCTAAAATTGATAGATAGAGAGATAGTTAAGGGGACCGTGCGCAGAAAATACTTTAATTTATTTATATTTATTAAAGGAAATAGACACTCTATTTATCAATGTAAAGTACGTAATTGACAGATAAAGAGGTCGAGAGTATTTTGCGCACACCAAGCCAAAAGTGTACAATCATTTTACTTACATGAAATAAAAAGTTGGCAATAAAGTACCTACTCAATTGTTGACAGATTAATTAGAAATCCGCCAGCAATTGATTAATTAAGCGAAGATTTAGCCTGAAACTTACCAGGCAATACGATGAAAGTGAACGCGATGAAGGTGGACCCGAACGCAATGGCGGACGCTCGGCGGGAGTCCGTGTGCATTTCGCCGAGGTACGCATACACGGTTGCACTTGATGCAGATACCCTGCATAGTACAGAAATAAAACACATGCCACGCACTAAGAAGCCAACGTTTAATTTTTAAATGAGACACAATTAAGTTACTACCCACATTTATGTTGTAAAAAAGATACTTCAATCTATTGTAACATGGATTTATGAATGCACAAGCAACGCAGAAGTAAAATAATTATCTGTGGACTAGCTTTTTACCCTACTTTTTACTTTACTGAAAGTTTTTTCTAGTAGTCTGGTCAGAACATATGGAAAATACCTACTACTTACAGATTTTATAAACCTTACAAGTAGGTTCACGCAATAATTTGAACTGGGAAGAATTTGCTATGAAAAAGTCTTCAGGCGTTCAAATATTTTTCTCTACTTTTAAATGCACCTGGATATTTGTATTTGATAGTAGATACTTACAGGCATCCTGTAAGAAACCTCAGTATGAACAAGGTCCAGAAGTTGCCGGACAGGGACGAGGCGAAGGACACGACCGTTCCCGCGCCGATGGCCGGCAGCATGACCGCGCGCCGCCCGAACCGGTCACTCAAGTAGCCCCAGATGATGGCCGTCGAGAATATACCTGAGGATCCCTTCATCATCATCAACAGCTCTTTACAGTCCATTGCTGGACTATGAGCCTCCTCCACTTCTTCATTTTACGGTATAGATTCAACTGCGTCAGTTCTAGGTAGAATGGATTAATTTTTTTTTGTTGATCTGGTCTTATTTCTCCTTTTAGCTCTGTACCTATCTAATAAGGGCTTGTTCATATGAAGATATCCCTTTTTGCAGGAACGGTTTCTCTCGTTTAGTCGTACTACGTGTTTTAATTCTTATTGGCGTTCTCGCGAACATCCAGTTTGCGGAATCCGCGAAAAACAGATCCGCTCGAATTTGTTATTCGAATTTCAAGCAAATAAATAAATGTGTGTTCATAATAATATGACAGTCGAGTTTTGCAGGATTCTGTATTACTGGACTCCGCTAAACTGTATTGCCGTGGAAATAAAGTAAATAGCAAAGATAGAAGAGAATAATTACTGGTAGAATACTTTGTGGTCATATATACTATAATAGCTGGAACTAAATAATCGCATAAAAATTGCTCTTCAAGGTTGTATGTTAACGTGTGAAACCAATTAGATATTTGTGCCGGTATTCTTTAGAAACTGTTTTAACAATCAGTTTGTTAATTATTGTATTTCGTAGACTCTACGACGTAGAATTACCTATAAACGCGGCGGCGTTGATCAAGCCTTTCTCGTTTCCAGTCAGTCCCAGGTCGCATTCTGCTGCTGTGATGATGTACCTGTCACAAACCCAGAAGTTATGTGAATTTTTCATAAGATTAAATCAGGAAGATATTTCCCAGGATTAGCAGTTTAACCCATGTATAATAGGGAGAGGTAAAAACAATTGGCTTTTATTAAAGGAATGTTATGAAGTTTTCAGGCAATTGAGGTTAGCTAGGTCAACGTGAGTGGCAAATGACGGTCGTATCTAGAAACGCAGTTGAGACATTTTCCCAGCAAGATGGACCGACGCGGCGACGCTATAATGCAGTTTGTAAAGTTATAAGTTTTTGTAAGAGCAGTTCAAATTGTTGTCTGACTGCTTCGTGCTACGACCTGTAATCTTTTCGTGGCAGATAAGTTATAAGTTTAACTTACCCTATACCGAGTGACTCCACCGTCGCATATAACAGGACTAGCCCGCATGTCACCAACACTACGTAGTTGAACGCGCCATGACCTGGAAGAAAAGCAAAGTATTTGAAGCACACTAAAGAAAAGCATAATATTGACATAAGCTGCCCACTGCTTAGATCATTCTACTCAACCCTACCAGGTAAATTCGTTGCGGGTCCAATGACAGCGTTTAACTTTCCCCCGGGACAAACTTGACCTTTACTGGTTGGGTTTATTGACGGTCAAGCTGTAGATCCTGGCTACACAGGAGTTGCAGCAATGGGAACGAGAGGTGGGGATAGTCCCGTACCAGGTAAAAGCACGGGAAAGTCATTTGCAGTGGTCATAACAATAGTCTAAGCCAATAGCACCCAATAGCACCAAACATAATGCATTTTAGAACCAGGTACCTATGTAAAGCGGCAGGGGTACGGGCTATGCATGAAAATTGTTATGATATTATTAAAGTAGAGAACAGTAGTGTTTTAGCAGAGTTTATTTAGATTTTACGACTCTTTTTGAAAGTCAAAAATCTACGCGAGCAATGTCGAAGGAACAACATTAGTAAAAAAGCACTGTTTTCAGGTTTCAGGCACTGGTTCGCTGTACGTTTTCGTAATATTATGCTCACCAGTTTCTTCAAAAGCTTCTTCAAAAGTTGTCATGGAACTTTGACATTATTTTACCAACATTTTGACTTCACAGGTTTTGACAAGACCATCGCAATGTCGACGTGCCGAATGACACAGCGCTAGACGAAGAATAAAATTATGAAATCTGTTTAGTTTTGGGTCAAAGTAGGTTTATTCATCAGGCCATAGACTATTCTTATCAGAATTTTAATAATATGAAAAATAGTGGACATACATTTTAACGCTCCTGAGTCGTGTTCTGGAGTAGGTACCTACACTAGATGATTAAAATAACTTTGCCTCTATGTTACATTTTTATTACTACCACTGACCTATTTACTTAATGATTTTAGTTTACGTTTGGCTTAAAGTTACATTTTTTAAACTATGAGGGGGTAAAGATAGGGGCAGTAAGTACCTGAGGATATGAAGTTCATATTTACTTACATCAGTATTAGGTACTCGTAGATGTGCACTCACAGAAACTGATTGCTTCACCGTATAAATTAAAATTCATCTCTTTAAAATTTGTACCTACTGAATCAAAACATCACAAAAACTAACTCATAATAATAATTATTTAAAATATTTTTTAACAAAAACAAAAAATGATCGTCTTTTGTTTTAGCGGAATCTTCCGAAAATCTTAAACTGTTTTCTTAGTGGCCAGTGCAAAAAGGAGGTTTTTAAAAATAAAGCAATCTGCTAACTGACCAGTGCTAAAAAGAGGTTTAAAATATAAATACCAAACCTGTTTAGTCAATTAAAGACACCACAATGCCAATGATATTGTTCACAGTTTAATCATGTCAGCGTAATGAGGGTTTTCGCGATTGAAAAATCCGCCAGATGGCAATACGTAGACGCGAGGTCCAAATGCTGCATGATTGGTGGATTTTGACATATCTGTCAATGTCATGTCAATAATAACCAATCATGCAGCATTTGGACCTCACGTCTACGTATTGCCATCTGGCGGATTTTTCAATCACGAAAACCCTCATTAAGTATTTAAATCATTGTTGTATTTAGTCTAGGCGCATACCACCGACTTTTAGATGTAAGTTGGGTCGGGCTGTTAATCAGTATGGACGTATATGAAAGTGCGCACATTACCAATTAAAAAATGTCAAAATAAACCAATTTAAAAAATGTCTTTATGAATGGTTAGTTGATAAATGTTTTTATACTGTCAAAGAATTTCTGAGTGATTGATTTTTGTACCTATAATGACTTCAATTTTTTAATTAATTTATTATTGTTATTAATATGTAGATTCTAATTTTGTAAAATTTGCATGCCTACCCTGAACAAAACATGTTGGACTTGACATTTTCTATCGACCATTTTGTTACCATGTTTCTGAGCAAATAAATGATTTATTTATTTTTTTATTTATTTACACAGATTTGGTATTGACCGATTCTTCATACAAATTAGAATCGGGTCCAACTATCGACCAACTAAAAATCGGTGGTCTGCGCCTAGGCTAAACTTGTACTCGTATAAACCAAGTCAATAGCGGTCAGTAACATTATTAACACGCTCACTGCGTTATGAGGTCTAAAAAGCCACATGCAGAACTTATCGCAGGTNACGGTTTTTACACAATTTCATCACACAAGACATGTCGTATTCGTGTTGTTTTTTCGCTGCTTAAATGTGTCAACTGTGTGAAGTTTGCACTCGAAGTGGTGTATCAGGGTGTGAATGTGTGCGTGCCGGCCTGTACGTACAGGCAAGCTGGTGTATCCTAATGTCACAGTATTTTGTTGATGAGACTCCGTCCGACTTTTTTTATAGGTCCATGGTAGAGAACAGTAGTGTTTTAGCGGAGTTTATTTAGATTTTACGACTCTTTTTGAAACTAAAAAATCTACCCGAGCAATGTCGAAGGAACAACATTAGTAAAAAAGCACTGTTTTCAGGTTTCAGGCACTGGTTCGCTGTACTTTTTTGTAAATATTATGCTCACCAGTCTCTTCAAAAGCTTCTTCAAAAGTTGTCATGGAACTTTGACATTATTTTACCGACATTTTTACTTCACAGGTTTTGACAAGACCATCGCAATGTGCAATGTTGACGTGATGAATGACACAGCGCTAGACGAAGAATAAAATTAAGAAATCTGTTTAGTTTTGGGTCAAAGTAGGTTTATTCATCAGACCATAGACTATTCTTATCACAATTTTATTAATATGAAAAATAGTGGGCATCCATTTTATGCTCCTGAGTCGTGTTCCTGTTCACTAGATGATATTAAAATAACTTTGCCTCTATCAACCACTGACCTATTTATTTAATGATTTTAGCTTACGTTTGGCTTAGTTACATTTTTTAAACTATGTAAAGATAGGGGTAGTAAGTACCTGAGGATATGAAGTTCATATTTACTTACATCAGTATTACTCGTAGATGTGTACTCACAGAAACAGATGGCTTCACCGTATAAATTAAAATTCATCTCTTTAAAATTTGTACTGAATCAACACATCACAAAAACTAACTCATCATTATTTAAAATATTTTTTAACAAAAACAAATGAGCGTCTTTTGTTTTAGCGGAATCTTCCGAAAATCTTAAACTTTTTTCTTAGTGGCCAGTGCAAAAAGGAGGTTGTTAAAAATAAAGCAATCTGCTAACTGACCAGTGCTAAAAAGAGGTTTAAAATATAAATACCAAACCTGTTTAGTCAATTAAAGACACTACAATGATATTGTTCACAGTTTGATCATGTCAGCGTAATGAGGGTTTTCGCGATTGAAAAATCCGCCAGATGGCAATATGTAGACGTGAGGTCCAAATGCTGCATGATTGGTTATTATTGACATGACATTGACAGATATGACAATTGACAAAATCCACCAATCATGCAGCATTTGGACCTCGCGTCTACGTATTGCCATCTGGCGGATTTTTCAATCGCGAAAANTCTCCCCCGCAGTGCGAAGCACTCCCTCTTCCGGATGCGACGTCTTGGCAGGAACCAGGACTACCACTCGTCGCGTCGGTCGCCGTAGCACTCCTCTGGGTGTTCGCACGTCGAGGACTCGTACTCTTCCGTCCGGACCGGGGTATACCCTCTGCACTTCCCCTCGTGGCCAAGTGTTCCTTGGAAGCGATACGTCGACTATAAAAACGACGTCGCTGACTCGAGGGTCTTCTGTTTCCCGTCCGGCTGTCTTCCTTGGCATCAAAGTTGGCAGGTGCTCTTTTAGCCATCTTCGCCAGAAGTGGTCCGTCAAGCGCTGCGCTGTCTTCCATTTCGCCTTCCCGATGAAGTCGCGGTCCTCGAACACGCCCGGCGTCATCGCTCCGCAGGATCTTCCTATGAGGAAGTGGTTCGGCGTTAGGCTTTCTTCGTCTTCGGGATCCATACTGAACTGATGTGGGNATGTAGACGTGAGGTCCAAATGCTGCATGATTGGTTATTATTGACATGACATTGACAGATATGACAATTGACAAAATCCACCAATCATGCAGCATTTGGACCTCGCGTCTACGTATTGCCATCTGGCGGATTTTTCAATCGCGAAAACCCTCATTAATTTATATCATTGTTGTATTTAGCCTAGGCGCAGACCACCGACTTTTAGATGGCCGATAGTTGGGTCGGGCTGTTAATCAGTATGGACATGTATGAAAGTGCGCACATTAACAGAGATTAGGTATCGACCGATATTCTTCATACAAATTAGAATCGGGCCCAACTATCGACCAACTAAAAATCGGTGGTCTGCGCCTAGGCTAAACTTGTATCTACTCGTATAAACCAAGTCAATAGCGGTCAGTGACATAACCTACACGTGTATACATGTAAGAGTAGGCGCACACCGTTGATTTTTAGTTGGCCGAATGTTACTAGGTATGCAAAATCACTTGAAACCTATGTTACAGTTAGGCTTTTATATTTACAAATACATTAGTTTTTATTTCATTCAAAAATACCCAGTAGTTATGATTTTATAGGCATTCAAAGTTCGCTTAAATATTGAGTCCCGCCGACGGTCACGTGACCCCGCGTGACGTACAATTACAGTGTCCGCTCACTAGAAAACGGATATAAACATACTTAAATACATTTTTTTTTTGTAAATACAATCTTATTATACATATTAACACCCAGAGCCATCACAGAAATTAAAATTGAACCAAACCCAAACTTGATGCGATTGTGTCGTTTTACTGCGAATTACCTTCCAGCTCCATCATTAGACCCTGATTACTATAGCTGTAATAGACATTTAGGTACATACATTTACCAATTTTGGTGATAAATAGGCATTTTGTATTAGTTTTTGTATGACGCCTGAACAAAAACAAAGGGTAATATTTTGGTGTTATAGGTACATAGATTTCGAATATAAAAAATATATAATTTAACTAATTAAGACATGACAAAAAAACTGAGGTATGTCTCGTTTCTGTCGGGTCTGGGTTTTTTTTGTATGGGGTGTGACCGTTCTTCTTTGTTTCTTATTTTAGGTCACAACTGACCGTTTTGTGTTGGGTACAATAAAGATGATTTTATCTATTTATTTAAATGTTTTTAATCAAGCTTACAAAACATAATAATTTAATACATTTTATGTACCTAATAATAATTAATAATGTAGTACAATTTATTTCAAACAATTAGCATACCATAATATTTTTGTTGCTAAGCTCGATGCTTTTGATTTTTACTTGGTGGAATTTGAAAACGTCGCACACAGGTGAAATTTGCTCAAAAGTTGGCCANTGATTGTTAACGTTGCTAATCGATTCTAATTAATAAATTAGCGTATTTTCTCGGTTGACGTCGCTAACAATCTCCCCCGCAGTGCGAAGCACTCCCTCTTCTGGATGCGACGTCTTGGCAGGAACCAGGACTACCACTCGTCGCGTCGGTCGCCGTAGCACTCCTCCGGGTGTTCGCACGTTGAGGACTCGTTTTCTTCTGTCCGGACCAGGGTATACCCGGCGCTGTACTTCCCCTCGTGGCCAAGTGTTCCTTGGAAGCGATACGTCGACTATAAAAACGACGTCGCTGACTCGAGGGTCTTCTGTTTCCCGTCCGGCTGTCTTCCTTGGCATCAAAGTTGGCAGGTACTCTTTTAGCCATCTTCGCCAGAAGTGGTCCGTCAAGCGCTGCGCTGTCCTCCAGTTCGCCTTCCCGATGAAGTCGCGGTCCTTGAACACGCCCGGCGCCATCGCTCCGCAGGATCTTCCGATGAGGAAGTGGTTCGGCGTGAGTCTTTCTTCGTCGCTGGGATCCGCACTTCACAGTGGCAACAACTTGGGAATTCTTCTTTTCTCCGATGTATTCTTCCCCCGTCTCGAAACGATTTTTTTTCTTGTCCAACTTCTTCTTAATGAGACGCTGGTGCGCCTGATACCCTCTGTTGGTCTTCTCCAGGACGCTGCGAGCCCGTTTGTCGGCGTCGTTGCATGGCCGACGTGGTTCCACTCCGATGTCCTCTTTCTCGAAGTGTTGGTGAACCAAGGCTTCCGTTCCATCTTCCACTAATCTGCTGTGGTGCACTAACTTCACTGGATCACTTCTTCCAGTGTTGCATCCATGCAGAACCCATCCAAGGCTGGTCAANAACAAACATAACTTGAAATTGATTAAAAAAATTAAAATATGTGTGTTAGTAGATTGTTTTTAAGATCAATAAAAACATCTAATTATCTCTTCTTTCCAACGATAATAACTAAATATCACTTGTAGTAATTAGATATTGGATTTCGACAAAAAATCAAAGTTTAGTGATGAAAATGTGAAAATAATACAAAAAATTATCCATCAAAAGTTTCTTCAAACATCTCCATCTTTTCTGATATACTGTTTTTCATAGCTTTTTTATATGATTTATTTCAAAATCAAATCAAAAATAATAACCGCATAGAAAAAGAAGTCTGTTTTTGTATGTGGCTTGATTTACCCTCATATTGTCATAATGTTACATTGTAGTGGCGTTACCTCGACACACAGTATTCGTATTCGTACTTGACATCTAGGGGACATAGGACCATAAGTCAAGTAAGTCAAGACTTGACATGTAACTCATATAAAAATGTCGCTCAATCCGTGTTTATCTATTTTAGTTGAAATGGAACGCAAAAATCTAAAATCTTATTTTTCTCTCGATTTTACCAAAAAATAATAACGGAGAAAGTAAAGTCTTAAATTGTATTCGATGATCAAAAATATTTTATTCAATGTTGACCGATATTTGACCAATATTTTGAATACCTGCACAGACAGACATTTACATTTAGGTACTCGTACACACTTAATAACTGTTTAGAAGCTCACTTAGACACACGAATATCGTCAGCCTAACTTTCAAACTGCTTAGGTATGTCTCTTTTTGCAAACTTTACAGGAGGAAATAACTATTTATTTTTCATAGTTATGGTACTAATTAAAGTATAATGATGTCTAATTGAAATATAATCATTTATTTCAATTTTGTTTCAGTTTGAAAATATGCTGACGATAAAATATTATTATTCTGTATAATGATTTATTTTCTTTTTTTAAATTCTGTTTTTAAACACAAAATAAGCATCGCAATTTTTTTCGATCTGCGTAAATTAACATCGAGTTAACATTCCCGTAGGCAGTTATGTTAGAATTGGCAGCGCTTCGCATCTGTATTCTGAGCGCACTTTGGTATCGGGCAAGAAGCGCGGGCGCGCGGCGGGTTGCGCGTTGTCTCGCTCTAATGCTCAAGGTCGTTCGGCCATGTAATCGCCTTAATCCTCTCCATTTCTACATTTACAAAGATTGAAACATATTATAGTTGAGGGAACATTCTTTCTTACTTTACAGATAACGCTTAAAAGCCATTTTACCTTGATTTTTCTAATGAACTAGTTGATTTTAATGTTGATAAATAACTGTTAGTTATGATCTAAGCCTTAGGAATTGAAACTTGATTTTAATTCTGACTTAAACTATTAATTAAAAGTCCAGCAGTTACGAATATATGTAGGTATGTGCTTAGCTGAGCTCTG